GCTGACGTCACCTCCTCGCCTGGTATCGCTCTGCCAGGTTCCGGTGCTGCATATACTGCTGGATAATGCGTGTGGTGTTTAATGTGCTCCTAATTGCCAAAGTGAGCTGAGCGGCCTCCATGCTTGCCTTGGTATGGCGTTCACAAAGAAAAAAGGCGCGGAACGATTGTCCGCTGTTGCTCTGACGGAGGGAGAGGCGACTGACAACACGGCTTACAGGGTTGGCTTCAGGGAGCTAAAATCAACAAAGGGGGTGGCTTTACACATCAAGGAGTATTTCAGGCAGGACTTCACGGAGGGTTCCAATAAGAAATAGTGCACCTAAGTTACTGTTCTTATTGGAACAAGGAGGTTAGTCTGGCCTCTGATTGATACATGGCTAGATTTACCTCGCTGCACCTTCTCTGTGAGTGACTGCAGTGTGACCTAGAGGAATGAGGCCCCTAGACAGGGGAGGGGGGGAAGCAAATGAGTACAAAACAAATCTGGTCTATTTCTTGTTTTGATCCACTCCATCTATCTTTTACATCTTTGGCTGGCAGCAGACGGTGCAGAAGGACTGCATGCCATCCACATCTCATGGCTGCTCGGCAGAAGATGGTACAATATGACTGCTAGCCATCCTCATCTCTTGCCTGCCCAGCAGAAGACGGTACAGTACGACTGCTAGCAATCCATATCACCTGCCTGCTCACCATAAGACGGTTCAATAGGACTGACTGCAGGACTAAAGAGAATGACCTGGTCAAGTCACTCCAAATTTAGTCCCTGCGCCCATGCCTGCCCAGGCACTCCTGGCCGACGTGGCCAGGAGCATCTCGGACATGACGATGATGGCTACCAGTCGTATTGCACCGTCTGCTGCCAGAAGGCAATGGGTTGCTGCTACTGTGTAGCAATGCAGTACCGCATCTGCCAGCACCCAGGAGACATACGGTGACTGTTACCTGCGCGGGCTCCATGCTTGCCGTGGTATGGCGTCTGCACAGGTAACTCAGGAAAAAAGGCGCGAAACGACTGTCTGCCCTTGCTTTCACGGAGGGAGGGAGAGAGGGAACAGGGGCCTGACGATATGTACCCAGAACATATCATCCGAGAGTGCTGAAGGAACTGGCGGCTGTGATTGCAGAGCCATTGGCCATTATCTTTGAAAACTCGTGGCGAACCGGGGAAGTCCCGGATGACTGGAAAAAGGCTAATGTAGTGCCAATCTTTAAAAAAGGGAAGAAGGAGGATCCTGGGAACTACAGGCCAGTCAGCCTCACTTCAGTCCCTGGAAAAATCATGGAGCAGGTCCTCAAAGAATCAATCCTGAAGCACTTGCATGAGAGGAAAGTGATCAGGAACAGCCAGCATGGATTCACCAAGGGAAGGTCATGCCTGACTAATCTAATCGCCTTCTATGATGAGATTACTGGTTCTGTGGATGAAGGGAAAGCAGTGGATGTATTGTTTCTTGACTTTAGCAAAGCTTTTGACACGGTCTCCCACAGTATTCTTGTCAGCAAGTTAAGGAAGTATGGGCTGGATGAATGCACTACAAGGTGGGTAGAAAGCTGGCTAGATTGTCGGGCTCAACGGGTAGTTATCAATGGCTCCATGTCTAGTTGGCAGCCGGTATCAAGTGGAGTGCCCCAAGGGTCGGTCCTGGGGCCGGTTTTGTTCAATATCTTCATAAATGATCTGGAGGATGGTGTGGATTGCACTCTCAGCAAATTTGCGGATGATACTAAACTGGGAGGAGTGGTAGATACGCTGGAGGGGAGGGATAGGAAACAGAAGGACCTAGACAAATTGGAGGATTGGGCCAAAAGAAATCTGATGAGGTTCAATAAGGATAAGTGCAGGGTCCTGCACTTAGGACGGAAGAACCCAATGCACAGCTACAGACTAGGGACCGAATGGCTAGGCAGCAGTTCTGCGGAAAAGGACCTAGGGGTGACAGTGGACGAGAAGCTGGATATGAGTCAGCAGTGTGCCCTTGTTGCCAAGAAGGCCAATGGCATTTTGGGATGTATAAGTAGGGGCATAGCGAGCAGATCGAGGGACGTGATCGTTCCCCTCTATTCGACATTGGTGAGGCCTCATCTGGAGTACTGTGTCCAGTTTTGGGCCCCACACTTCAAGAAGGATGTGGATAAATTGGAGAGAGTCCAGCGAAGGGCAACAAAAATGATTAGGGGTCTGGAACACATGACTTATGAGGAGAGGCTGAGGGAGCTGGGATTGTTTAGCCTGCAGAAGAGAAGAATGAGGGGGGATTTGATAGCTGCTTTCAACTACCTGAAAGGGGGTTCCAAGGAGGATGGCTCTAGACTGTTCTCAATGGTAGCAGATGACAGAACGAGGAGTAATGGTCTCAAGCTGCAGTGGGGGAGGTTTAGATTGGATATTAGGAAAAACTTTTTCACTAAGAGGGTGGTGAAACACTGGAATGCGTTACCTAGGGAGGTGGTAGAATCTCCTTCCTTAGAGGTTTTTAAGGTCAGGCTTGACAAAGCCCTGGCTGGGATGATTTAACTGGGAATTGGTCCTGCTTCGAGCAGGGGGTTGGACTAGATGACCTTCTGGGGTCCCTTCCAACCCTTATATTCTATGATTCTATGATTCTAACCACCTGCAACGTTTTAGCCCCATCAGGCACTGGGATCTCAACCCAGAATTCCAATGGGCAGCGGAGACTGCGGGAACTGTGGGATAGCTACCCACAGTGCAACACTCCAGAAGTCGACGCGTGCCTCGGTACTGTGGAAGCACTCCGCCAAGTTAATGCACTTAATGCACTTAGAGCATTTTCTGTGGGGACACACACACTCGAATATATAAAACTGATTTCTAAAAAAAGTCTTCTATAAATTAGACCTAATTTCGTAGTGTAGACATACCCTATAGATATGGGCTGAGGCCCAGGCAGCAACTGTCCAAACATCCGAGATAGGTATATTATGCAGGGAAGCCATGGAGGCTGATAAGGCTCTAGTGGGATGTGAGCGAATCCCCAGGAGGGATTGGCAGTCGCACTGATGACAGTAGAGTTTTGTGTGATTACGGATCTACATGGAAAGTCTTTGCTTAGAGATGGTGCTCCTTTTGGAGCATTCAGTGATGGATAGAAACAGTCTGGGTGATTTATGGGATGGTTTAGTCCTGTCTATGTAAGAAGCCAGTGCCCTCCGAACACCAAAATTATGAAGTGTGTAATGTGTTCTACCTGTGTGGGATTTAGGGGTGTGGTCTGAGGGAGGCTTTATCCTCAAAGAAGATCATGTATGGGCATTCCACCATGAAAGCCCACAGTGCTCCCACACACAGGGCTTTGGAGCGGAACCCAGACCTGGAGTGCAGAGCAGTGGAGCTGCAGGTTTTTGCCCGGAGCTGGAGCGGAGCCGGAGCACAGAAAATCTTGACTGCTCCACTGCTCCAGGTTTTTTTTTTTTTCATTTTCAATCCAAAATGAATGATATTTAGCAAGAAAGTCCTAAAGGTGCCAAAAAATTTCAGATGTATAACAATTGATATTAACATCTACTTTACCACTTTACATAACATGTCACAGTTTTTCTCACTTCAGCCGAAATCAAGATCTAATGTACAGATACAAAATTACGAAGTTTTTTGGAAATATGTTTTATTAAAGAATCAGATAATTATCAGACATCTGGCAACACTGCAGACTGCTCCCACGAGTATGTACTCACGTAGATTAGTTAGATTAGTATGTGTTGATACTTCTTTTGTAAGCGTTGATCAACGAGATGCACTGAGTGCTGTGACTACAGAAAAGTGTGATGCAAGACGCAACATTTAAGATATCACAAACAGGTATATTGCAAAACAATAATGTTTTTGTTTATTGATATATTAAGATATTGCAAGAGATATTAACCACTTAAGATCATTTCTCACATGGGCTCCTGTTACCGGTACATTTGTTCATTTGTACATGCTCCCGTATCACTCTGGCAGACTTATTTTATATATCATCTGTTCAACGGTCTTTTGGTACCGTTGTTTGTAATTTTAAATTTACTGAAAAAGTAGCATGCAGCAGCCATATAAATATACAATAAACATGTCTGCATAAATTAGGAGTGATTTTTTTGATATATCCAGAGTGATTGGAAAATGTTCAACACTAGTTTGGGGGTGAATCCTTAGGTCATTTTAAGAAAAAACGTTTCTGTGAACACGTATCCTAAAATTCTTCCTAAGGGAGCTACAGTCCCTTCAAGAAGGTGATGAAAAGTTAATTTCTGATGAATATCTCAAAAACGCTTTAATATAAAGTAATGAAATCATGTCTGTGTCTTAGCGTTAGTATGTGCTACCATATTACATTATCCAAAATTATTTAAACCATAGGCGTCCCGAACTGGCAGTTGGTCATTTTTATTTCATATTTCAAGAAAGGCTTGTTGTCGACTGCCCCGACTATGAGTGGTAATATTATGTTCTATAGTAAGTTAGTAATTTTTGGTTATTATTTATTATTATATTTTAAATTTATGGTTCCAAAGTTGAAAAATAAGTAATAAGTAAAATTGCTTGTATCACTCTAAGCATCTAAGCAGATTAAAATTTTTAAACAGTTTTCTCGGAAACGGTTAATTATACAAAATAAATTAAGAGTATCATTTTAATGCATGTTTTAGCATCAAATCATATTCCAGGGTCGTATCTGTTAAACAGTCGAAAATTTAAAAAATATTAAATAAAATTGGCCCAGTCCCCCCACTTCACGACAACTGTAGTTTAAATAATTTTATTTGAATGGTGTTGTATGATAGAACGTTGGAAATAAACTTTAACGGGAAAGCGAATTCAAATTGCAAGCAAAGTCCTTTTAGTAAAGAGAGCAAATTTTCGGAAATATGTTTTTCCTTCATCAGTCTGGAAACATTATACAAGATAGAACCTGTTATTTACTCTATCTTGTATAATCTATTCAGGCTGATGAAGCAAACACATATTTCCGAAAATTTGCTCTCTTTACTAAAAGGACTGTGCTTGCAATTTGAATCCGCTTTCCCGTTAAAGTTTATTTTCAACCTTGTAACTTGTAGCCTCATTACTTCCCAACAATTAATGTTGTAGAACAGTGATAGCATGTACTAACGCTACAGCACATACCAAATTTCATTGATATATCTATATTAAAGCGTTTTTGAGATATTAATTAAAAACTTGGAAAATATTTTGAATATTTTTACCGCAAAATTTCATAAGAAAAACTAACTTGCAATTTATAAATAAAAATTTGGGAAAAGCAAAGAAGAAATCAGCAACATGCAAGGTGGAAAAGGAAGTGAATGAAGAGCTCAAACCATGTAGCTTTAAGACAAGTGAAACTAGTGCCGTGAAAAGTTTCAACCTTTGGCAGCATGTAAAACATAACCATCCTGAAAACTATGCAGCTCTGCTTATAAAAAAGGACCAGAAAGATGAGGCAAAACAGAAAGCTGACGTGGCTAAATGACGTTCATCTGGCTATTTGAAAACTCCTGGAGAAAAGATTTTTTGCGGAGCTTCATCTGAAAAGAAACCCAAAATTGAGCAAACAAAACTTGACTCATATTTGAAGTCCTCAAAGATTACAGTCAGCATGGATGCCAATACTTTCTGTGAAGGTCTGATGGAAATGGTTTGCTTGAGTGCAACACCGCTCACTACCTTTAGGCTAAAGAACAAAGGATTCCAAAAAACTGCTGGTGTAATGGGTTGGCAGCTTGGCATTTCGACGGGGCACAATGCGGTTCATCATTTAGTTGTCAGCACAGCTGAGTCTGGTTGCAAAGAGCTGAAGAAAGCTTTGGAGCAAAATTTGTGCTACCAGAAAATGGATGCAGCAACCCGTGGAAACAGCAATTTCCTTGCAATCAGTGCTCAGTACTACGAAGAAGGAAAAGATAAAGCTGTGGTAAAAACCTTGGACATAATCGACACTGAAGGGTGTCACAATTCTTCGTACGTGAAAAGTCAAGTAAAAACTATTTTAGAAAAATTTGGGATCAGTGAAATGCAAGTGCTGAGCATCTGCGTTGACAATGCAGCAAACATGACGTGTGCCATCAAAAATTTCAGCGAGGACAATGAAACCATTTCTACCTCTGAGAACAGGGATGTGGACAGAACTGAAGCTATTTTGCCTGATGAAGGAACTAAAGGAATGGATGAAATCAAACTCAACATGGATTCTGCTGAGCAATGGGTTAATGACCCTAGCCTCATACTTCCAACATAGCTTCATGAGGACAACTCAAAAGTCCAACTGATGAGGTGTGGTATTCACACTCTTCAGTTGGCAATCTGGTATGGACTGAACAAAGAACATGTGAAAAAATTTCTGGCAAAAATTCGACAAGTTATTGTCAAACTATGAACCCAAGTATTCAAAGTGTTCTGCTTGATCTACATGGGGTAACTCAATCATTGGATATTGTGACTCGCTGGGTTCAACATTTGCAATGACTGATCGGCTTCTCGTTTTTCAATCTTACTGTGGACAAGTGGCTGCTGCTGGAACAAGAGAACTCAAGTTAACAAAAGCTGAATGGGATGAAGTGAAGAACCTGAGAGACCTCAAGCTGTCGATGTAACCCCAGGAGTTTTAATGAAGGAATGGCGAAAACTGTCAAAATTCTTGCGAGAAAATGGTGGACAAACTGCAGAAGCTTTTTGACAATACTCATTTCCTTGCTGGAGTATATGTTGACCCACGGTATCGGATTCTTCTTACCGCAAGGGAAATACCAAAGGCAAAGGAAGGGCACTGTGATATTGCTCAACAACTTGAAAAACAATCCATTGCTACATTTGATCTCGGCAAAAGAGGTCGAAGAAAACAAAAAAAGTCATCAACAGTCGAATCTGTGGTTTCGGAAAGTTCACATCCTTCAGAAATAGCAGGCTGTTCTCAAACTTCCGTCTCCACTCTGAACTTGTTCAAGCATCCATCCCTGAGACGTCTTTAACCATCACAGGGAAATGGAAATAATTTAAGCACCAATTCTTCAGAAGATGACGCCTTTGAAAAGGAATTGGATAAACAAGACAGATGCCGGTGATTTTCTGCAATTCATAATTGTAATGAAGCATTATTCGAGAGAAACTTTCGGTAAGATTGTGAGGCGATGGAGTCTATTGGTAGGCTAAAAGTTAAGTCTGTTTTTGAGGCCATTCAGAGCTACCTACGCCGCATTCAGGCTGCTTGTAGAATTGCTTTGAGCACGCTAACAACTCAAGCTAATGTAGAGCGACTGTTTTCGGCTTTAAAGTTAATTTTAAATGATTTGCGGCAGGCTATGAAAGACGACTTGATTGCTGTAATAATTTTTTACAGAATGAATTATGAATGATTCTAGTTTGTATCATTGTTGATGACATTTAAATTGTTTTAAAAGTCTGAATAAAAATAATGCTTTTTTCAAAATTACAGTATGCACTTTTTTATTTAGTTAAAAATTAATCTGAGTCGGAGCGTGGAGCGGAGTCTGAGCTGAACTGGAGCAGTCACTATTGGTGCAGGAGCAGAGCTGGAGCGGCTTAAAGCTGTGTGCAGCTTAAAGTATCCAAATACGTGCCAGACATTGGAAAACTCAGCAAGGAAAAGCAAGGGCAAGGATCACACTAAACCGATAAGAGCTGCATTTTAATTTAATTTTAAATGGAGCTTCTTAAACATTTAAAAAACCTTATTTAGTTTACATACGACAATAGTTTAGTTATATATTATAAAGAGAGACCTTCTAAAAACATTAAAATGTATTACTGGCACACAAAACCTTAAATTAGAGTGAATAAATGAAGACTTGGCACACCACTTCTGAAAGGTTTCCAATCCCTGGGTTAGGGCTTTAGGGAAATCTATGGGTTCCTTAAATAGGAATACAGTAGCTGGATGGCTGGCAAAAACATCAGGAACGCCTGGATTAACAGGGAGTGAACTCTCAGGAAGTTTTTCTTTCCTGGAGAAAAGACCCAGTGGTATGGCTCCATAAGGAAAAGCAATGACTAAGGGAAAAGCCAGAGTCATACATAGCTAGGAAAAGATTACTGTATAAACATTCAGGAATTCCCCAGAGAGACAGATTATTATTATATGATGTCCTGCAATTTAAAAGAGTATTATTGTTAGGATTTAATCCAGCAATAAGAATGGCTACAGTTTCTGATGATCCCCTCCAGACTCCTTTACGTGATATAAAAGAAAAAGCAAAAAGATTATATGAAATACAAAGGGAAACAAGTTTGCCCCTTAAGGGGAAGAACGAAAAAGTACCAGTAATAACTTTTTCTAATAATGATCCAAAGGGACAGGAAAATCCACAAGGCACGAAGAATAAGCAGGGATTAAAAAGAGAAGAAAATCAAACTAGAAAGTTTGCTCCTTATGAGCAACAAAGGTTTGATGAAGGAAGAAATTGGCTCTGGAAGAGATTATTACAATATGAACCTAAAGAACAAATTCATGGGTTATCTACAGAAGAACTACTTCAAAGTTTAGCGAATCATGAGTGGAACATGCCTACAGCTCCACCTAACCCTAAAGGTCAGGCATACTGAGTCCAAGCGCTCCCTATCTCCCCAATATCAATAGAAGATCATGCTATCTTGGTAGCACTTTTACAAACAGACGACTGGGGGAGACCCACTGTTTATGTGGAATTTGATCGGGGAGCGTTTGGACAGAATATGTTAACAGATACAGGTGCCACATTTTCTTTAGTAAGTACCAAGAATAAAAATGTATTTGGACCTCCTGTAATGTCAGGAAGCTACAAGGATTTAATGAAGCAACGAGTAAGGTACTGTTTAGTGCTCTGGTTCACTTTCAATTAGGAACAAAACAAGGAAGGGAACAGTTTGGCTTGATGAACTTGGATGGTGATGGAATAATTGGTGTTGATATACTGAGGAAGCTTAGAGTAACAGTAGATTTAGTAAATAAGGTGTTATGGAAGATACCTTTTGATAGAATTAGAACTATAGATCAAACAATAGTCACTGAAGCAGGGTATAGGTTAGCTACTATTAAGGCAGCAGAAGAAATAAAATGGCCTGATTGGCCAGCAGAAGTTTTACAAATTGCACAAAAGCATAAAGAGGTCTGGGCTACTAATAAGGCAGAATGTGGAAAAACTGAAGCAGAGTTATTGATTAATGGGCCTGATCCCCTACTGCAAAGACAATATTAATATCCTAAGGAAGTGGAACCTAGTTTAATGAAGACTATTCAAGGACTTTTGGAGCAGGGAGTTATAGTTGAACAACAGAACATAAATAATGCTGCTATTTGGCCAGTTCTAACAGCGGATGGTAAAACTTGGAGGTTAACTATCGATCTTAGACCCCTCAATAATGTAACTCCAATGACTGCTCCCGCAGTAGCAAAGTATCCTGAAGTGATTGCTTCCATTATCGGAGAAGCATGGTGGTTTACTGTCCTGGATCTCGCAAATGTGTTCTTTGCCATACCTTTACATCCAGACTTCTGGTATAAATTTGCATTTATGTTTCAGGGATGACAGTTCTGTTTCACTAGAAATCTCCAGGGTTTTCATAACTCACCAGCTGTTTGTCATATGCATGTGAATAAAAAGTGGGATAAAATGCCGAATAAGGATAACATCATATCCTATGTAGATGATATCCTTATCAGTACAAAAACTAAGGAAGAGAATTGAGAAATATTGGATCAAGAATTACAAAAGCTAAAGGAAACAGGGTTCAAGGTTAGTCCAGAAAAAGGTCAAATATGCCAGCAACAAGTTAATTACTTGGAGTAACATTAGGACAGAAAGGATGAACACAAGATAATCAAAGGACAGAATTATTGCAAAAGTTACCAGCCCCAACAGATGTGTCTATTTTAAGGTTATTCTTGGGGATGACTAATTTTTCAAGAGATTGTATAGAAAACTATGCAGAAAAAGCTAGCCCATTGTATCAGTTGTTAACATAAGAACATACATAAGACTATAAGAATGGCCATCCCGGGTAGGACCAAAGGTCCATCCAGCCCAGTTCCCTGTCTACTGACAATGGCCATCTTATTCTCCATCTTATTCTCTATCCCTTTTTTAATGATTCCTAACATCCCGTTTGCTTTTTTGACTGCCACAGCACACTGCTTGGACGTCTTCAGAGAACTATCCACGATGACTCCAAGATCTTTCTCCTGATTAGTTGTAGCTAAATTAGCTCCCATCACATTTTATGTATAGTTGGGGTTATTTTTCCAATGTGCATTACTTTACATTTATCCACAATAAATTTTATTTGCCATTTTGTTGCCCTTAGTTTTGTGAGATCTTTTTGAAGTTCTTCACAGTCTGCTTTGGTCTTAAAGATCTTGAGCAGTTTAGTATCACCAGCAAACTTTGCCACCTCGCTGTTTACCCCTTTCTCCAGATCGTTTATGAATAGGTTGAATAGGATTGGTCCTAGAACTGATCCTTGGGGAACACCACTAGTTACCCCTCTCCATTCTGAAAATTTACCATTTATTCCTACCCTTTGTTCCCTGTCTTTTAACCAGTTCTCAATCCATGAAAGGATCTTCCCTCTCATCCCATGACAACTTAATTTATGTAAGAGCCTTCGGTGACGGACCTTGTCAAAATGCTTTCTGAAAATCTAAGTACACTATGTCCACTGGATCCCTCTTGTCCACATGTTTGTTGACCCCCTTAAAGAACTCTAATGGATTAGTAAAACATGATTTCCCTTTACAGAAACCATGTTGACTTTTACGCAACAATTTATGTTCTTCTATGTGTCTGACAATTTTATTCTTTACTATTGTTTCAACTAGTTTGCCCGGTACTGACTTTAGACTTACTGGTCTGTAATTGCCAGGATCACCTCTAGAGCCCTTCTTAAATACTGGCGTTACCTTAGCTATCTTCCAGTCATTGGGTACAGTAGCTGATTTAAACGACAGGTTACAAACCACAGTTAATAGTTCCGCAATTTCACATTTGAGTTCTTTCAGAACTCTTGTTGAATGCCATCTGGTCCTGATGACTTGTTACCGTTAAGTTTCTCAATTAATTCCAAAACTTCCTCTAGTGTCACTTCAATCTGTGACAATTCCTCAGATTTGTCACCTACAAAAGACAGCTCAGGTTTGGGAATCTCCCTCACATCCTCAGCCGTGAAGACTGAATTCCAGAATTCGTTTGGTTTCTCCATGATTACTTTATCGTCTTTAAGTGCTCCTTTTGTATCTCAATCATCAAGGGGCCCCACTGGTTGTTTAGCAGGTTTCCTGTTTCTGATGTACTTAAAAAACATTTTATTACCTTTTGAGTTTTTGGCTAGCTGTTCTTCAAACTCCTTTTTGGCTTTTCTTATTACATTTTTACATTTAATTTGGCAGTATTTATGCTTTTTCTTTACCTCACTAGGATTTGACTTCCACTTTTTAAAGGATGCCTTTTTATCTCTCACTGTTTCTTTTACATGGTTGTTAAGCCATGGTGGCTCTTTTTTAGTTCTTTTACTGTGTTTTTTAATTTGGGGTATACATTTAAGTTGAGCCTCTATTATGGGGTCTTTGAAAAGTGTCCATGCAGCTTGTAGGGATTTCACTCTAGTCACTGTACCTTTTAATTTCTGTTTAACTAACCTCCTCATTTTTGCATAGTTCCCCTTTCTGAAATTAAATGCCACAGTGTTGGGCTGCTGAGGTGTTCTTCCCATCACAGGAATGTTAAATGTTATTATATTACGGTCACTATTTCCAAGCGGTCCTGTTATAGTTACCTCTTGGACCAGATCCTGCGCTCTACTCAGGAGTAGATCGAGAATTGCATCTCCTCTTGTGGGTTCCTGTACCAGCTGCTCCAAGAAGCAGTCATTTAAAGTATTGAGAAATTTTGTCTCTGCATTTTGTCCTGAGGTGACATGTACCAGTCAATATGGAGATAACTGAAATTCCCCACTATTATTGAGTTTTTTATTTTGACAGCCTCCCTAATCTCCCTTAGCATTTCATCGTCACTATCACTGTCCTGGTCAGGTGGTCGATAATAGATCCCTACCGTTATATTCTTATTAGAGCATGGAATTACTATCCATAGAGATTCTATGGATCATGTGGATTCATTTAAGATTTTTATTTCATTTGATTCGACATTTTCTTTCGCATACAGTGCCACTCTCCCCACCCAGCCACACGCATGACCTGTTCTGTCCTTCTGATATATTTTGTACCCCGGAATGACTGTGTCCCATTGATTGTCCTCACTCCACCAGGTTTCTGTGATGCCTATTATATCAATATCCTCCTTTAACACGAGGCACTCTAGTTCACCCATCTTATTATTTAGACTTCTAGCATTTGTGTACAAGCACTTTAAGAACTTGTCACTGTTTATTTTTCTGCCCTTTTCTGATGTGTCAGATTCTTTATACGAATGTTTCTTGTCTGATCTGGCACATACTTTGTCCTCTTTCATCCCCTCCTCCTGACTAAAACCTAGAGAATCTCTATCAATAGACTCTCCTCTGAGAGAAGTCTCTGTCCAATCCATGTGCGCCTCTGCAGCAATCAGCTTTCCCCCATCTCTTAGTTTAAAAACTGCTCTGCAACCTTTTTAATGTTAAGTGCCAGCAGTCTGGATCCACTTTGGTTTAGGTGGAGCCCCATCCTTCCTGTATAGGCTTCCCCTATCCCAAAAGTTTCCCCAGTTCCTAATAAATCTAACCCCCTCCTCTCTACACTATCGTCTCATCCACTCATTGAGACTCTGAAGCTCTGCCTGCCTACCTGGCCCTGCGCATGGAACTGGTAGCATTTCTGAGAATGCCACCATAGAGGTCCTGGATTTCAGTTTCTTTCCTAGCGGCCTAAATTTGGCCTCCAGGACTTCTCCCCTACCCTTCCCTATATCATTGGTACCTACATGTACCACAACCACTGGCTTCTCCCCAGCACTACACTTAAGTCTATCTAGATGCCTCGTGAGATCCGCAACCTTTGCACCAGGCAGGCAAGTCACCATACGGTTCTCCCAGTCATCACAAACCCAGCTATCTATGTTTCTAATGATCAAATCTCCCACTACTAACACCTGCCTTTTCCTAATGACTGGAGTTCCCTCCCCCGGAGAGGAACCCTCAGTGCAAGAGGATACCCCAACATCATCTGGAAGGAGGGTCCCAACTGTGGGAAGGTTTCCCTCTGTTCCCGTTGACTGCTCTCCTTCTCTGAGCCTTTCATCCTCCTTAACAGTGTAGGGGCTATCTGACTGGAAATGGGACAAATCTACAGTGTCCCAGAAAGGCTCATCAACATACCTCTCTGCCTCCCTTAGCTTGTCCAGTTCCGCCACCAGTTAAGGAAAGGTACGAAATGGGATTGGGGATTGGAACAGCAGGAAGCGTTCACTCAGCTTAAAAAGGCATTAGCACAAGCCCCAGCCTTGGTATATCCAAAAGTAGGACAGCCTTTTGTATTACAATTGGCTACTACAAATGCTAGAATGAGTGCTATCTTAAGCCAAGACCACGGTACAGGTCTTTGACCACTGGTGTATGCTTCTAAGACTCTAGATGGAGTAGAACAAGGATTTATTCCTTATGAAAAAGAGGTATTGGCATTAGTTTCGGCTTTGCAACATTGGGAATATCTAGTAGGACTATCCCCAGTGCTTTTGAAAACATCCCATTCACCTCTAAAATACATGCTGACAGGGAAAATTAATGATGGGCATGTTTCCAATCCCAGGTTAACAAAATGGATACTAGCCTTGTTAAATAAAAATATAGCCATGGAAAAGATTCCAAGTCTATCTCCAGTCTCTTTTGGTCTCCTAATAGAAGCAGAACAACATGAATGTTCTTTACCAGAAATTCCCACGAAGCACCTATACTATTCCAAGGTGGAGCAATTCTAAGCGAAATCATGGATAAAGTAGTTGTAGTTTGGTTTTTGGATGGTTCTAGATTTTCTGAGGAAGGTAAAACATATGCGGGATATACAGCAGTGAGAATATCAGAAGAGAAGGTTTTTAAGGGTCAATGTTTGCCACATTCAGTGTAAACTGCCAAAATTGTAGCGGTAAGAGTAGCACTGGAAAACATGCCAAGAGATGAAGCTGTGGCTATTTTCACAGATTCTGACTGAGTACTGAGAGCTGTAATAGATTGGATACCTCAAAGGGAGAAGACGGGTATGAAATCAGGGAAGGTAAACCTATTAGTCATGCTGAAAAATTAACTTATTTATGGGGATTAGCACAACAAAGAACATAATCAGTACTAATGGGAAAAGTAAAAGCCCACAAGAAAACTGTTGAGGGAGCTCAGTGGAATCAGAAGGCAGATGAACAGGCTAAAAAGGGAGCCAAGGAGGGGATGATATGGCAACCGCAATTCCAGGTGGCCCCGATAAAAAAAAATAGAGGGAGAAAAGATAGAACAAATTGATTTAGTAGAAAATAAAGAAAAGATCCAAAAAATAAAAAAACACTGTGGAAAATCTAAGTCTAATGATCATGATGGTTCTGGAAAGTCACTTCCAAAGAAAAGAAAATATGACGATGATTATATAAAATATGGCTCTGATGTTGCACTCTATGATTTTATGAAAATATGCTAATGAGTGTGAATGTAATGTAACTGGAATATGTTTCATGCAAAACGTCTCTTGTAAGGTGTCATTACAAAGCTTATAATCTACTGAGTGTGGTCACCCTATTTGTATAAATGCATTGCTCTTGAATCTGAAACTATAAATATGAAATATAACTCTGAGGGCCTATTGTAATTATGCAAAGTGTGGGCCATTAATGGTGGTTTGGAATCTTGATGGCTCTCATCAGCCAGGACAATTGACTCTGTTTGTAGGCAGGCTTTCCTGTGAGTCAGGCTGGGAGGAATAAAGGCTTGGAGTCTCACAGGACATGTAACCATGTCACCTGGTATTGAAATCCATCTTAAACCTGGTGCTTTTCCATTTAGAAGGGGGTGGGGGAGCAGAAAGACAAAAGATTCCCGCCTTGTGCCAAAGCCATATAAGGGGGTGGAACAGAACAAAGGGGGCTGCAAACATAAGAAATCTCCTAGCTACCACCTGAGCTGGAACAAGGGCTTTACCAGGGAAAAGGATTGTGCCCATACTAGGAAGGTATCCAGTCTGTGATAGAAGCTTATTGAAACATCTGAGGGTGAGGTTTTAGCTGTATTCAGTTTTCTTACTGTATTAGGCATAGACTTGCGGGTTTTATTTTATTTTGTTTGGTAATTCACTTTGTTCTGTCTGGTATTACTTGGAACCACTTCAATCCTACGTGCTGTATATAATAAAATCACTTTTTACTTATTATTTAACGCAGAGTATGTATTAATACCTGTGGGGGGCAAACAGCTGTGCGATATCTTTCTATCAGTGTTATAGAGGGCGAACAATTTATGAGTTTACCCTGTATAAACTTTATACACGGTAAAACGGTTTTATTTGGGGTTTGGACCCCATTGGGAGCTAGGCATCTGAGTGTTAAAGACAGGAACACTTCTTAAGCTGTTTTCAGTTAAGTTCGCAGTTTGTCGGATGTGGCTCAGACCTGGGTCTGGGTTTGTGGCCGGCAAGCACGTCTGGCACATCCAGGCAGGGTTCTGTAGTCCCCAGCTAGCAGGGAAAGCAGGGACAGAAGTAGGCTTGGCACATCAGTTGGCAGCCCCAAGGGGGTTTCTGTGATCCAACCCGTGACAATGGCTTTACATGCACTGGTGATCAAGAACGTCCAAAACCACTGTGTGTAATTTGTGGTGATGTTCTAGCAAACAGCAGCCTCAAACCTTCTCTACTTTGGCTCCATTTAGAAACTAGGCATACTGCACAACTTGACAAGCCTGTTGATTTTTTCAAGTGAAAATTAGCTGAAAGGAAAAGTGACATTACCAGTTTTTTATCCAAAGCAAGTACTGATAATGAAAATGCACTTGAATGGTCATACCGCATGAGCTATCGAGTAGCAAAAGTATCAGAAGCTCATACCATAGCAGAGAGCTTAATTGATCCATGTATAAAAGATGTACTTCATTGCATGCTCGAAGAAAAGGCTGCAAAAAGGATTGACATGGTACCTTTGTCCAATAATATGTTGTCACAAAGAATTAATGACGTCCAAATAAGGAACCTGGAGAGCTCATCTAGTCCAGTCCTCTGTGCTGAGGCAGGGCCGTGTATACCTATACCAGCGATACTCAGACCTCAGTTGATCAGGACTTAAATCAGTGATCAATATTACCCAAAAGAGCCACAGCAGTGTGAATTCATTGTTTCATTTACTATTTATAGTATCAGTGTCTATTTCCTTTATATTCATACTTCCATTCCTATGGCCTTTCTGAATTCAGAGTTTTGTGGTTCCAAAATATCATAATAAACCCTACTTTTATCAAAGTTCTCTCTGAGGTAGAGCAGGTCTTCTATGGAGTACTCATCATGCATTCCTGTCCAAACAGTCAGGCTGTACCTATATTAACAGAGTTATTAAAAGTCCATATTTTTATCTTAGTACAAAGCATCAGACACATAGAAAGACAGTACGAATAGGCTTCTAAAATAATTAGGACTCTGGTATCTTAATTTCAGATACAATTACATATAAAAAACTAAAGGATGTTAAGGTTGGAAAGTCAAGCAATCAAAAGTTAGGAAATAACAGAATTTAGGTTGCCTGGGAACTATTAATTCAGCATCCTTGTGCCTGTGTATTATGATACAGTCTTTAATTACATGATCACATACTATTTTTTCCCACAGGATCACAAGATAGATGATGCTCAATGGTAGCTATTCACTATTTCTTTTTGTTCATACCATTCTATCCCTGCCTCTCCGATGCTAAACAATTCATTTAAACCATATGCTTCATAGGTGGTCACTGATTGTGTTCCCGCAGTTTCTGGATGTTCACCTTGAGATATCTGGAGCCATATTTGCCATAATGCTGAATACTCATTGGGACAGCTGAAGTCAATTGGAGCTATGCACTAAAACATATAAAGTACTATAAAATGCTAAGTACTCTGAAAAAAAAAATCAGGTCCTAGGTTTCTCAAATTGGGTACCCCAAATTAGTTGACACTTTACAATTTTGCCCTTGATCTCTAGGTTTCAGATCCTCCTCTGCAAATGGGGATAACACCACCATCTTACCTCACAAGGGTGTGGTAAAGATAAATCTGTTAAAGTTTGTGAACTACTCAAACTATGGTAAGAGCTATAAGAAAAGACCAAGAGGAAGTTAACAATTCTGTATTCAGCGCAGTGTTTCAACAGAGTGTAGTAAATAAGGCCCTAGCCACACACTGAATAGTGAGCGTACAAAAAAGATATTGAACAGCTACCCATTCAGTGAGCACCATCCATCATGTCCACTGAATAAAGAGGTCCTACAGGAAAAAGTAGTATGTGAGCATGCAGTTAAAGACTATATCATAATGCTTATGCACAAGGAGAATGACTTAAGATTCCACCTTAATACTGGCATTTCCTAATTTTGAGTGCTTTATTTTGTATGTTTACTGTTCTTTTAATACAGTTATTTTGTATATAATGTCCTGAGTGTTTAAAAAGCAACCTGAAAAAATGAATTCTATTAAGAACAACCATATTGACTCCTGAATTGGTCATGGGCAGGGTTGGAACCTTTACATCCGCAGCACAAACCTTTACTACTTAAGCTAACAGAGTAACTGTTAATGGTAATAGGTTGTTATTAGGGCTGTCGATTAATTGCAGTTAACTCACATGATTAACTCAAAAAAATTAATCATAATTAAAAAAAATTAATCGTGACTAACTGCAGTTTTAATTGCACTGTTAAACAATAGAATACCAATTGAAATTTATTAAATATTTATGGATTTTTTTTTTACATTTTCAAATACATTGATTTAAATTACAACACAGAATACAAAGTGTGCACTGCTCAATTTATATTATTTTTATTACAAATATTGCACTGCAAAAATGTTAAACAAAAGAAACAGTATTTTTCAATTCACCTCATACAAGTACTATAGTGCAATCTCTTTATTGTGAAAGTGCAACTTACAAATGTAGATTTTTTTGTTAAATAACCACACTCAAAAACAGAACAATGCAAAACTTTAGAGCATACAAGTCCACTCAGTCCTACTTCTTGTTCAGCCAATCACTAAGACAAACAAATGTGTTTACATTTAGAGGATATAATACTGCCCTCTTCTTATTTACAATGTGACCAGAAAGTGAGAACAGGCATTCACATGGGACTATTGTAGCCGGCACTGCAAAGTATTTATGTGCCAGAGAGCTAAACATTCATATGCCCCTTCATGCTCCAGCCACCATTCCAGATGCCATGCTTCCATGACACTAGTTAAAAAACATAATGTGTTAATTACATATGAGACTGAAATCCCTTGGGGGAGAACTGTATGTCTCCAGCTCTATTTTACCAGCATTCTGCCATATATTTCATGTTATAGTAGTCCCAGATGATGACTCAGCACATGGTGTTCATTTTAAGAACACTTTTGCTGCAGATCTGACAAAACGCAATGTACCAACGAAGGTACCAATGTGAGATTTCTAAAGATAGCTACAGCACTCGACCCAAGATTTAAGAATCTGAAGTGTCTTCCAAAATCTGAGATGGATGAGGTGCGGAGCATGCTTTCAGAAGTCTTAAAAGAGCAACACTCTGATGTGAAAACTTCAATATCTGAATCACCAAAAAAAGAAAATCAACCTTCTGCTGGTGGCATCTGACTCATATGATGAAAATGAACATGTGTCGGTCCACACTGCTTTGGATTGTTATTGAGCAGAACCCATCATCAGCATGGACGCATGTCCCCTGGAATGGTGGTTGAAGCATGAAGGGGCATATGAATCGTTAGAACACCTGGCACGTAAATATCTTGCAATGCTGGCTACAACAGTGCCATAAGAACATTTGTTCTCACTTTCAGGTGACATTATGAACAAGAAGTGGGCAGCATTATCTCCTGCAAATGTAAACTAACTTGTCTGTCTGTGCGATTGGCTGAACAAGAAATAGGACTGAGTGGACTTGTAGGCTCTAAAGTTTTACATTGTTTTATTTTTGAATTCAGTTATTTTTTGCACATAATTCTAGATTTGTAAGTTCAACTTTGATGATAAAGAGATTGCACTACAGTACTTGTATTAGGTGAACTGAAACATACTATTTCTTTTGTTTTTACAGTGAAAATATTTCATGAAATATACATCACACTTATTTTTACTATATAATTATAAAATAAATCAATTGGAATATATCCGATATCAACTCGATCGAGTGACAAGGACTGCTGAATGGAACTCCTTCCAGGGTTTCATGAAATACATGTAATATATTGTATTCATTTCATGAAATGTAAACACTGAATCTAATACAAAGTATATACAAAATGCAACTGTTTAAATTGGTTTGAATTGATTCCAAATTGAGAGATTAAACTATTGAGTCTATTTGACTACATTTGAGTTGAGAAGTCTTTATGATGGAACTTAGTGCAATGTTTCAAGGCTTTGCAGATTCAGTTATGAAATCATTTTAAAAATAAGCTTAGTAGAATTTTAATATTTTGCGCACACATAAATTGCCCCACTTTATTACAGCAGACAGAATATCTTTAGTCCATATATTTTATGGGGGAAATTCCCACTTAAAAAAATCATTTCAGTTTGCTCTTTTATTGATAATGTAGTAGCTATCTTGAATGCAAATTAATACATATGACAAAACAAATTTTAAAACTGAGTAATTTTTTTTTTTAAAAAGCTTTTTAATATGGTTTGTAACAGGTGTGCACATAATAAGTGTGTAACATCTGACTACTATCTGCCTTTATCATGCAAATGACTAAATAAGAAGTCCTCAAACTTACCTGTTTGACTTTTGTAATAACCAGAGCAACTCAGATTTTGACTGTCGTACCAAAGCTGCTCTAACAGGGAACGTTACAGGCTGAGTAAGTGCATCACATATCTGAGCCATCTCTTTCACCATTGCCCAACTGTATCCTATTGGAAAGATCATTTGATGCAGTATTAAGAAACTCTCCTCATTCCTATCAGAATATAAAGGCATCAAGATTTATAAAATAGTTAGATTTAAAATATACCACTGTTCCATACTGTCGACATGTGGATTTTGTGAAAATCTACTATTTCTAAAAGTGAAATTGAACAAAACATGCCTATGAACAAAAATGAAACTGACTACTCATTTTCACTGTCCAAGTTCAGAAAAATGCCAGAAGTAAATATCAGCATAAATAGTGAAAAATAAATTATACAGTATTTGTAAATTCTGTATTTCAGTTACTTAAGTGTTATTTGTAATATTTTCAAAGAAATATTAGTTATGGAAATCATTGGGAGTTCTGCCATTGACTTCAATGGAGACATGGTTTTTAACATAACAGTGACCCTTTAAAAATAAAAGGAGTACTTGTGGCACCTTAGAGACTAACAAATTTATTTGAGCATAAGCTTTCGTGAGCTACAGCTCACTTGAAAGAATAAGAAAAAAGGTAATTTTAAGAATATTTCAGAAAAAATAAAAGAAACAACTGCCATGGTTTTAAGTTATACAGAAATGAGGTGGCTAAAAATATTTTAGTTAGGGCTTGGAGAAAATATGTTTAAAAGCAAGCAATTTAACACAGTTTAAAAATTGCTTGCTTTTAACATCTATTTTTGCAAGCTTCAAAAGCTAGTAAAAAAATATTTTAATTTGTTTTTTTCATTCAATGTAATGGAAAGTGTCAGGTAACCTTAACTACACGCATTGCTATCTCTGCCATCTATAACATCACAGTGGTAAAAACACTAGTGGCCAGCAGCATCTTGTCTACACCAGTGCTCCCACTGCTGCTGTCACTGGTGAAGCTGCACCAGTGTTAGAGTAGTGCAAACTTTTGGGGGAAAAGATTAATGTAGGTCCAGCCTGTACGTAGAACTGTGATTTAATACGCAGGTAATAACCACTTCAAATATCCAGTTACAATTAGTGCAGTTACGCTGTGTCCATACAATCACATTTTGCACAGCAGCCACACATCAAATGTATTTATACATTCACATCTATCACACTGTTTTCCTCTGTTTGTATGAAGGCACTCTTGGAAAAAAACTGGGCTGATATCACATAGTATCCCAGCCAGGAATTAAATGCCCAGGTAACTTTATCCACAGAGTACCAACATCACCACTTGGGGTAATGCACTCTTGGATGTTGTATTGCAGAGAGAGCTGGGAGAAAGAAGGACCAGACAGCCCTGTTACCCAAACATGATTAGCTGCTCCTGCCTAAAACAACACAACAGGGTTACAACCTGATTACAGGAAGACAAAAATCAACTTAGGCTGCCAGCAAGGGCAATACATAATTAACTGTCACCTTATCTAACATTCCTCTTACTTAAATACTACGCCAGCCTCTTCTGAAAACAAAGTTACATGAAAATCATGAAATATCTCCTCAAAAGCAGAAACAATCAGTTGGAATCTATGTGTCCAGTACTAGTTATGTTGTACCAACCACCTGTACGTGTGAAGTGTTAAACTAGCAATTGTCAGAATGAAATTTTATATCTTTAATGCCTTTGGCTGCTAAGTATTGTTTTTGCTGTCTTTTACCAGTGCACACATCATAAGCCCTCCATTTCCGTTTCTTAGCTTAAAAAAGTCTTCATACAATCTCTTTGATGGAAAGGCCATTTTGATGTGAAAATGCAACAGTTGCAATCATAGAAGATCAGCTGTTTTTTTATATTATAAAGTGAGGTAAGAGTGAAACAAAAGCTCCTGTCTGAGTAATAACAGTATGCATAAAATGAAGTGAACTGTAATTAAATATTTAAACTTGTATTACACTTCCTTGGACAGTCAGGTTTGTTTTCACTTTTTAAAATTTCACTTTTTAAAAATTCATGGATAATCAGCATGCAGAAGTGAACATGGCCTGATTTACAAAACCCTTGCAAAGAATTCAGCTTCACAAATTTAAATTAAAAAATACAGTAGGACATATTAAGGATCTTGTTTGAACTAACAAACTGTCTTAAACCATCTCATTGTCCTTAATTATTGCAGAAGTCTGAACAAGGATTAATTTAACAGAACATTCATACTAAGGGCCTGATCTTGCAGTAATTCAGTGGAAGTTTTGCCCAAGATGGGACTGAAATATTGACAGCTGGAAGGACTGACAGCAGCACTGTAAAAGCCCTGATATCTAAGGAACAGGTTAAAAAAATAAATACAGTTAACTTCAGTAACAGAAATATAGTGGATCTATATATGTTCATAAACCCTATTTTCCAATTCTATACTAAGTTGCAAAATGACATACATTTAATAAAATCATTGACTTTTAGTCTACTTTATTTATGTTAATTACATTTTAAAAAAACTGACACAGATGTATGCAAAAGAAATTGCATCTATGTTATTGAGGCAAACATGGAGGCAACCTCAAGCCTTGCAGCGTGTAAATCTTCCATCTTTACCTTTATTGCATTGTTGAGGCTGCCACCCAGTTGTCCAGCCCAACGATAAGGTCACATCCGGGCAGAATGAAGTTACAGTGTCTAGAAATCTTTTTGCATCCACGACAGTGTTACTTCCATTAGGTCCAGGGAGAATGTCTGCATTAATCCAGACAGGTCGCCTCAGATGCAACTTTATGCCTTCAAGAAGCATCATAGAGGGCTTCACCGCTGCTAGACTATAAAGATAAACATACTATCAGCAAGACAACAGATTCCTAGTGATATGATGGGAAAAAAATACAATACACACACACTCTATTGAAACTGTTTCCACAAGCTAGGGCTAGTTCAGGCAATGCTGTTAATCAGCTGCTGGGGACCCCCTGTTTATGAGGCCCCATCCCAATCATATCCAGATTACAAAGCTCATGTGGGTAAAGTTTATGCCTCACTGTTGCATTGTATGGAGTATGAAATGCTTCATGCTCACTGAGAGCTCTGGGGCGAGTTGCCTGATAAATCAAGATGTCTTCCTCTTCTCTTCATTGTGCCCTGGTTGAGATTCCCACCTTCTCCTGTTTAATAGGACACCTCCATCTACTATTTCCCTGTCTCACTCACAAACACATATACCTATTCTTTCTTCCTTTCCACACTTGGCATATTTAAGGCAGATGGATGAGAAATGTCACACACAATCTTGGCTACTGTAGCTGGCGGATCTATTTGCTTTGCTTTGCAGGGGCTCCAGATGTCCCTGAACTAATGCTGCTACAAGCTACTGAATGCAAAAGATAAATATCAGGCATCTCAAAATATACTTTAAAAGCTTGTAGATTTCCCTAGACAAAAGGAAAGAAATTTTTTCTCCCCAGAAACACTTCATAGGTGGAGCTTCTGCCTACCTCTTCCTGTTCTTACCTTAATATGCCAAGCTCTTGGAATTAAGCAGCACATAAGACCCAAACTGATATTATTTGTATTATCTGAGTGCCTAGGAGCCCTAGTCATGGACCAGCACCCCATTTTGCCACCACCACAGCAGTGTCCAAAACCAGCATAAAAAGTGGGATTATATGGTCAATCATGCTAATGGAGCGGATTAAAAAGATAACCAACAGGAGTAATATGCAAAAGGTTCCTATATATATACTGTACATATCTCTAATACAGGAACAGCTTTATTACTCCTAAGGGAATTCTGCATCACTGCGCATGTGCAGAATTCATGGCCCCCTGCAGATCTCTTTGCTTACCCGCAGAAAAATGACTTCTGATGGGGAAGCAAAGGGAAGCTGCAAGAGCCGTCATGTGCCCACTCCCTGGCAGTGCAGACAGGTTGGTTTGGGCACCCTGAGCAGCCGGTAGAGACTTAAATCACTGCCGGGGAGGGGCGGGGGCTGGTTAGTCATGTGTGAAAGAGAGAGAGAGACACTCTTTCCCTCTCACTCACTATAGCAGCACTCTTGGCGTGCAGGGGCAGTGCTCTGGGGTATTTCTGAAGAAGCAGGTGTGGGGCAGGCTCTGTTCCCTCAGGCGGAGGAGAATGTAGTAGCCTGCCTCCTTAGTGAATTGTTCCCATTGTTTTTAGTGAATCCTCCAGGAGTATAAAACAGGTGTAAAAATTTTAAGGCTCCTTTACATTGCCGGAGTGGTGTAAAGGAGCCTTATTGTAAAGGACAGTAGGGCCTTATAAATGCTTATGGTGCTTTAGTGATTAGAACTGTTCCAAATTTTTGGACTGAAAAAATTTCCTACCAAAATATGCTCCTTTCTGGAGATGGTCAGTAGCATAGGCGCCAACTCCGTGGCTGGAGCACCCATGGGGAAAAATTGGTGGGTGCTCTGCACCCACCGGCAGCTCCCTGTCCCACCTCTCCCAGCCCCAGCTCACCTCCGCTCCGCCTCTGCCTCCTCCCCCAAGCTCGCCACCACTCTGCTTCTCCCCCTAGCTCCCAGTGCTTGCCATGCAAAACAGTTGTTTCGTGGCGGCAAGCACTGGGAGGAAGGGGGAAGGAGGGGGGACATGGAGGGTTCCGGGAAAAGGCGGGGCCGGAGCGGGGATTTGGGAAAGGGGTCCAATAGGGGCACGGATGGGGCAGAGTTGGGATGGGGACTTTGGGTAAGGGGTTAAGATGAGGGCCAGGCAGGGGGCAAGCACCCACTGGCGCCTGGAAAAGTTGGCGCCTATGGTCAGTAGCCAGTATAAATTGTGAATTTGAGTCCCCAGCCCTCACTTGTTCTTCAGTTGCCTATGATGTAACACTAAGCATATGACTGCATATATTTGTTGACTAATAATTAGAAGTAAAGGGTCAGTACTAGCTATATTACTAACAGACAGAGGGGGTTTGGGGATTTCCTCCAATGCTCCCCACTCCCATTCTCCATCCATTGTATTTTAGTTTAGATAAATTACCAAGGTAATTGAAACCAGCTGGATTATATCCCATTATTTTGACAAAAATATGCAGAATTTAAAAATATTGTGCGCAGAAGTTTTTGGCACAGAATTTCCCCAGGAGTACTTTATCCAAAAGCTGCTGCTCTTTTGGACAGTTTCTCTCATGTTACTCTCCTGCCTGTGCTTGTACAATGTGATTGTATTTTTTAAATGCTTTTATACAATTACATTTTTATACTGCAGCATTATTTTAAAACCTTTTTGTAAAACATTGTATTTGGCTGAAAAGAAGAGTGAACTGAAAATGAGTTTTAACAATATATATTTTTTTAAAACTACTATACTTTTCCCTTCCTTCCCCGTTTCTGGCTGACACTTACAGAGTCTATATAACAATAAAAGAATTTAGCCTACCCATGTATTCTGTATTTTCATAAACACATGAAATCTGTAAATGTCAAGGTATAGTTTTATTATTAAGGACAAAAGATATAAACTGCAATTTACAACTGTCCTTCAAGTTTTGCATTTCTATTGCACACTTGATCATGCCCTTCTATGTGGCGATCCCACCCCCACATTTTGATTGTAAAAAACAGCTACTGTGCATGCATATTAAGGCACAAGTATATGGAATTTTCCAATGGAAAATTTCCAGCCATCCTCGTGCGCATGTTCTAAAGGCCTGTTTTTGGCCTGAGGAGGGTTTAGACTGGTCAGAGCCCTGGCCAAAGGAGGGACGAGGTGTCTTGCTAGAGTTTCTATTCCTCCTGCGTGAACTCTCTTGCCTATTTTGAGGCTGGTAACTTCTCAGTGGGGGCTGTGGTCTAAAATGCCTCCGCTAGTTGGCAGGAGTGTGAAGGCCAAGGGACTTTAGGGTGGCCCTAGAGTCCTTAAGGCTGTGCAGGCGGGAGTCAGTCTTTTCTGAAAATAAATTCTGACCCTCAAAGGGGAGGTCCTAGATGGTCTGCTGGACCTCATATGGGAGGCCAGAGACCTGCAGCCAGGAACTCCTCCTCATGGCCACCCCAGTCGCCATGATGCATGAAGCCACGTATGCTGCATTCAAAACTGCTTGCAGAGACGTCCAGGAAATTAGTTTACCCTCCTCTACTAGCACAGAAAACTCTGTGCAAGAGTCTGGAGGCAGGAGTTTGGTAAACTTTGTCAAGGCCCCAAATGTATTAAAGTTATATCTGCTGACCACCTCTGGATGGTCAGTGATGCAGAGCTACAACCCCCCTGTCGAGTAAACCTTTCTCCCGAAAAAAGCCCAACTTTTTGGCCTCTCGACTTTTCAGGGAGCCTGGTAGCCCTGGTGCTCACGCTGGTTGGCCACGTCCACTACAAGTGAGTCCAGTGGGGGGTGCGTATAGAGGTGTTCGTACCCCCTTGAGGGGACACAGTATCTCCGCTCAGACCTTTTCGCAGTGAACGGCAATGAGGACAGGGTCTACCACAGTATGTTGGTGGCTTCGCTAATGGTTTTGATCAGCAGCAGCACGATATGGGATGGCCCAGGAGGGGAAAGGATATCCACCATTGGGTCGGTCTCCTCCACCTCCCACTCTATTTTAATATTGAGGTTCTGAGCCACCCACCTCAGCAGCTGCTGTAAGACCCTGCTGTCCTCCAGGGCTGGGGCAGTTGATGTGCTGGCCACTGCCTCATCAGGTATGCAGATCAGCTGGGTCACCGTCAAAATCTCTGGTGTCAAAGGTGTGGGCGGTGTCCTGAAGGACACAGAGACCACCGATGCCGATCTGGAACTGTAGCTCTGCCCTTGGCTTTGATGATAAGCCCAGGGCGTCCAAAGTGGCCACTAAGGAGCTTGCCACTGGCCCAGCCATGGTGCCGGGTAGGAGTGGCGGTCTTGGCGGGAGTGGGACCTCCTGCTCCTACTGGAGCATGACTCTGCTTCCGACTCCGAGGCCTCCGACTCGGATGGGTGCTGCAAACTGGGGGTCCGGAGCAGCTCCTCCACGAGGGTGGCCAGTGCCAGGGAGTGATGCACTGGGGATGATGCACGCATCGCCATCATTGCCGGCTTGCCGATGGATTGCACTGGTGCCCAAACCAGTGCCAGCGACCTCTCCCGCCTTGGAGGGGAGGCTGGTGCCATAAGTGCCAGAAGGTCCGATGAAGCCTCGAATGCCTCAGGCATGGAGGGGAGCTGCAGGTCTTCTTGGTGGTGGGCTGGCAAGCGATGAGGGTCCAGACTCGACTGGACCCCCCGCTGGGGCAGGAATCGACATGAGCCGTAGCGGTTGGGCACTGGATGGAGGCTTACCGACTGCCTGGTCCTTAGACCTGGTCAGGGAATGTCCTCTGTCCAACCTCTTCTTTTTGTGAGGTACCAGGGATTGAGACCAGTGCCTCACAGAGGTCTGGGTCCTGTGCACAGAGCCGTGGTGGTGCCGAGGATCTCTAGAGAAGCCCTTCCTTGGCACTGGCTCACGCATCAAGATGCTTGGAGCTGGCTCCCCCATGCCAGGTTCTGACTGAGGCTGAAGCGCTGCCTCCATAAGTAAAATACAGAGGTGCTGATCTCTGTCCTTTAGGGTCCTAGGGCGGAACTCTCTGCAGATCTTACAACGTTCGCTAAGGTGGCCCTCACTGAGAATACTTCAAACACTAAGTGTGCGGGTCACTTCTGGGCATAGACCTGCCACAGTCGGTACATGCCTTAAAGTCCGGGGACCCAGGCATAGCCCGGTGCCAGAGGAATCTCCTTCCTTAGAGGTTTTTTAAGGTCAGGCTTGACAAAGCCCTGGCTGGGATGATTTAACTGGGAATTGGTCCTGCTTTGAGCAGGGGGTTGGACTAGATGACCTTCTGGGGTCCCTTCCAACCCTTATATTCTATGATTCTATGATTCTATGATTCTATGAATGTTGCGGGGGGAGGGAAGCCCCCCAAAGGAAACATATGAATCTATTTACACTGACTATACAAATAAGAATTATACTAGTACTATATACACTAAAAAGGACACTGTGAAGAACACGCGCTTGCCAAGGCAAGAGCAACTGGGAGTTCCAGCTGGCCGTAACAAGCGGTAAGAAGGAACTGAAGGGGTGGCGGGTCAGCAGGGCCCTACATTGAGTGCCCAGAGAGCACCCAGGCCGACCCTATACATACTGCTGGGGAAAATCTTCCATCTGTCATGCACGCGGCATGCGCACACCTGATTGGAATGGACATGAACAAGCACTCAAAGAACAGATATTTATAACAATTTATAATACAAACATTTTTCAGTTTTCTACCCTCAGTACTTCTGAAAATCCAGTACCATATCTCTGAATATGGGCACCGAGAAAATGAGGAATATACAATACCTCTACTCTTGAACTAACAGAGTAACTGGAGAGGATAAAAGCCCACCGTTGCTATGTGGACCATTCACTACAGAGGAATAAGACAAACGCTTTGTCAGTGGGTTTCACAGCTATTTGCTGTCAGCAGAAAAATGTAGAAACTGGGAAATCCTGAGGTAGATTCCAAATTCTGAAATGGATTGTTTCTAGTGGTTATTTATGCTTCTATCCTTTACCCCAGCCTCTATGCGTCTCTGTTCGTAGCCAATCTCTCCAGATCCAATTCCACCCCACACTCTCTGTCTATCCACCCCACCACCCCGACTTTTGTGACCTACCCTCTAAGCTCCTACACATCCCCATGACTCCTGCACCCTTCTGCTCCTATCCCCAGGGAGCCTCCGCAAGTACCTCCATCCATCCTTATATACACCCCTCTCATATTAAATCTCACCCCCCAAAAAATCCCCATTAGCCCCAGAAAACCCTTCCCTACCCTCCTCAAATATTCCCCCTCCCGTACTGAGACCCAGCGCCCCAACTCCCTCGATCAGTCCCAATGGCCCCTCCCCAACCCCCCTTATATACTTCCCCTCCCCCACTGAACCCCAATACCCCATCTAGCCCCTCTCCTCTAGAGGAGTGGGAGGTCCTGAGGTGGGGAGTCATGTCCTATTGCTGGGTGGGTGGCCCTTTGGAAGGGTGACCAGGCCAAATTTGAATGAGCAGCGCTGTGACCCTGTGGACTGGGTTGCAATGCCCAAAGCAGAGAACTGGCCCCAGCTCCGCAGGACAGGAGCTGCTGCTGCTTGGTCAGTTTTTCATTTTATGTTGTTTATAAAGGTTCTTTTCCCTTCTGTGTGTTACTTTGCATTTGTGAAATACATGGGGCTTTACCAATCTGTATTTGTACCAGGCTAGTTGCTCCTTTGCCTCTATGCTGCCTGAATGCCAGTGAGTTAGGGCCGCTTTGAGAGCCCTAGAGAGAAAGTCGCCCTGATCTCAGCTCCAGTGCCTGATGCCACAGTGGCCCCTAATAGCCAGAAGGATAAATTGCAGGGAAAATCCTGAGCCTGCATCCCTAGGTTGAAGCATGCTCACTACATCTTTGAATCTTTGAAGAATAACGATAACACTCTCTAACAAATCTTCACGAAGCATGTGCAAACTGCAGTTTCCAGAAGATTACAATTTAACCAAATTTGAGTGAATTTTCACAGGAACAGCAAAAGGCACATCCTTCACATAAAAGCAACCCACTGTTAAATTGCAAATCCATGCTCCAAAGCATAAAGGCATGAGGACTTCTTGAGGAATAGGTGGTAAGAATTATTTAACAACTTCTTCTTCCCTAATCTCATTCTCCAAAATAGCTAATTTGTTCTCAAAACAAACAAACAAAAAAAATCAGTAGCTTAAGCTAGATACCTGGCATGAAAATTTTCGGTCTGAACAGTTACAGTTTGGCAAAGTTAAAAGCAACTGAAAACAAGGTATTATAATGGAAAGTGCTAGGCAACCTTACCTACTGGTGATGCTACCAGCTCCGCCATATGCAATAATTACTATACAATATTTTAAAATACAATAACTGTTTATTGCATATGCAATATTATTGGTAGTCTAAATACTGTAAAGCCTTGGGACAAACAGCTTCACTGCATCCATTAATAAAAATAAGTTGTGTTTGAAAAATACTTCTCCAGTGCACAGATATTCATAAAAAGAAACCACACACACACACAAATAAAAAACAAGTTTTGGTACCATTTGTGATTAATCATTTCTGATGGTACTGTATTTCATTACCACTTATTATGTTTGATTGTATTTCACTATTCAGTAATGCATACATTATAGTAAAATGTATTGTTAATAAAAGTTCTGTAAACAGAAGTTTGCCCTACAATGGACAGCACCAACACACAACCAGTCGGTGGTAACTATTAATAAATAATAATAATGCAGAATCCTTGTGAATCTTTTATATACCTCTTAAAATCCAGCTTGATGCCTTTTTTAGTGTTCACAATCTCATTTAGCCATGTCTGCAATGTGTTGTCACTGTTTGTTTCAGGAGGATGAGCCATGATTGGTTCACCATTTCCTTCTTCCTCACCACAAAGAAGAATATCTGCTTCTACCATATGAGCAGCACCTGTTCATTTAAAACATTAATATTGTGACATATCCAGATCCCCAACTTTTCAGATTTTGTGCATGTATATTATATATTACACACAAAAACTACATTAAAATAACATTATAAGATTGCAAAGTCAAGCACTCCAAAGTTAGGAAATGCCTGTGCAACTTTAATTCAACCTTCTGCATATGCATTATGACAGCGTTTACTTATATGATCACGTACTATTTATTCCACAAGACCCCAGCCTCATTCACTGCATAGGATTGATGGTACTCACTTGATGAACAGCTATTCAATATTTCGTTTTATCCCCATTGTTACTTATGTGACCCTAGGCTTTATTTACTGCACACTATTCACCGTGCTCTGACTACAGAATTATTAATTTCCCCATGGGCTTTTCTACAGGACTCATCGTTACAGTATCCAAGTATTTCACAAACATTAACTGATTTACCTTGACAACACTCCTGTCAGATGATAGGGGTGGTATTATCCCCCATTTTACAGATGTAGAGCTGAGGAAAAGAGAGATTAAGGTCAGAAGTGTCCACTAATTCTGGGTGCCCAATTTGAGATGCCTAGGACCTGATTTTTCATAGTACCTAGCATTTTATATGTTCAAAGCAGAGCCTTTATATGTTCAAAGTCAGTTGCAGCTCAGAGTGTGCGGCACTTCTATAAATCAAATCCCAGGGTCTCAAGTTCAGGCATCCAGAAATGAGGAACCTGTGAATAGTGGAATTTAAGCAACTTGACTATAGTATCACAAAGGAATTCTGTGGCAGAGGTAGAATTCAGTTCTTCAGAGCAGCATTCATCTGACTTAATCATGAGATCCTCCTTTCTCTTGCTGCAATCTCATTCACAAACACCTTTCAACTTCTGCAACAAATGAGGCAGGGGTCCTACAGACAACAGTCTCCTTCACAACACAACCCAGAGCAGGTCCGTCATGTGCACAGAATGAAGTAGGGGTCCTGTTCAAAAAGTAGTATGATCACATAATTAAAGTCTGTATCATAATGAATATGCAAAAGGGTGCCAAATTAAGGCTGCACAGGCATTTCCTAACTTTGAATCCTTGGCTTAGCAACTGCACTGTTCTTTTCATGTAAATTTTTGTATGTTATTTCTTAGGTTTTTAAAAAAGCAAACTGAAAAAAACCAACAGAAATTGCATCATGTGACATCACATTTACACTTATATGGCAGTTTTAGAAGGTTTAGATCATAGGCGCCGAGTTTCTAATCTGCTGGGGGGTGCTCCCCCCGGCTCCAGGCAGGCACCATCCCCACTCCACCCCTTCCCCCAAGGCCCCACCCCTCCTTGAGTGTCTTCCCAACCCCTCCCCGCCTCCTCCCCCGATCACATTGCACCCTCACTCCTCCTCCCCAGAGCCTCCAGACGGCGCGAAACAGCTGATCTGCGGTAGGTGCTGGGAGGAAGGGGGAGATGCTAATTGGCGGGGCCCACCAGCGGGCAGGAGGTGCTGGGGGGAGGGGGAGGTTCTGCTATGGGGGCTGCCAGTGGGTGCTCAGCACCCACCAGTTTTTCCCCAGGGATGCTCCAACCCCAGAGCACCCATGGAGTCAGCACCTCTAGTGTAAATCCACTGGACAGGCCATGGCCACTTGAGCTAATGGAGTAAATGATAGCAATAGTTGGTTGTCATCCTCTGTGACAGCACTAGATGGAGATGAGACATACACCTGGTCACTGGGTTTCACAATATGTGCTGCCAGCAGATAAATGGTGAGACTCAGGAATCTCAGGTTCCACTCCAGACTCTGGAAAGGAGTGTTCTCTAGTGGTCACTGCAAGCTTGACCTTTTGTGCTTGGTCTCCTCCAACATGTCCTTATTGCAGTATTGTCTCTTCCCCATCTCTGGCTCCTCGCCCCAGTTTCCTCATTGCAATCCTGTTCTCCTTGCCCAAACAATCCCAGTCTCCCCTGACAGACTCCCCATCTAAGCCCAAGTCCCCACCCATGTCCAGTCCCAATCTCCTTGCCCAGCCAGCCTAATTCCCCACCAGCTCTGACTTCTTGTCCCTTGTCTCCTTGTGCAGCCTGTCCCCATTTCGTCTTCCCAGCTGATCTGATCTGTCTCTCTCCAACCCCTGGCTTCCAGTCATCTCCATAGTTTCAGCCCCTCTCCCCATCCAATCTCAGTCCAATCTCCTCATCCACCCTGCCTTGTCCAGCCAGTCCCAATACCCCCACATACCCTATCTGATCTCAGTGTCATTGTCCCTAGCTCCCTTCCCGCAATAGCTCCAGCCTCTCCTCCTCCATGGCTCCCATTCCTCTTTCCCAACCAATCACAGCTCCCATGCTCCACCAGTTCCCAGTCCTAGCCTCCTTGCCCAACCAGTCCCTGTCTCCTCCCCAACAACATCCAGTCCCAGTTTCTCTCTCCCCACCTGGCTCCCAGTCCTAGTCTCCCCCGCAACCCGCCCCCCCCAGTAATTGTCCCACCCAGCTCCTTGTCCCAACCTACTCCTTTCCCTCACCCTAAGTCTTGCTCCTGTCCCCTCTGTACACAAGTCAGGCAGCTTCCTCCTTCACACTGCCTTGGCAACAGAAGAATGGGGGTCATTGAGAGCACAGGCAAGACAGTCTCCCTGCTCTCAGTTCTGGGGCCCAGTCCCACACCAGGCTGGAGAAGCAATTACAGGAAAATTCCTTCTGAGTTCTGTAGCCAGGGGAACATACAATGTCACCCTGTAGGGCTGTTGTACACACAGTCTGGTCAACACTAAAAGTTGCGAGGGGATGGATCATTCTCAGTTGCTGTGTGAAGACAGTGCATGCTCAGTTCAGTCATCAACAGGAGCTATGAAGGGATGGAGCATGCTTAGTCATTCTGTGGGTATGGCGCATGTGCAGTCTGGTTAGCACTAGGACTTAGAGGGGATGGAACATACTCAGTGAGGATAGAATTTTAGGAGATTTTAGCTGCTAAACTTTAAGAAGTCTCTACTAAACCTATGTGAACTGTGGTTTTTCAAAGGCTTATAACTTAACCAAATTTGCATGGCTTTTCACCCAGGAACAGAAAAGGCATATCCCTCATAAGGCCATTCCCCTACCAAATGTCAAGCTTCTTCTCCAAAATATGGGTGTACCAGAGTTTCTCAAAGAAAAGGTCTCCAGATTTTTTTTAATATGGCCAAAATAACTTATCTTTCCTTAGCCCCATTCTCATAACTGACTCAACAATCCTGGCTGAAACTTTCCAAAACAATTCAGCCTGAGACAGATAGCCAGCATGGACAACTTCAGCCCAAATGTTAAAAATGGCAAAGTTATAAGAAAAGGAAAACAGGCTCTTATAAAGGAAAGTGTCGGGCAATCTTAATAGGTAGTCCTACCAGCCCCACCTAGAATACATATATGCACATATTTTAAGTTACTTAGATTTTAAAACTTGAGACATAATATGAGACATAACTTTACTTTCAGTAAGCAGCAGAGTAGCTGAGTTACCTATTTTACTAATTCCTTCACAAATCTAATTAATTCCACTGGAAACAAAATCTAATAATTTGAGGTAATTAAATCTTCATGAAGAAAAAAAAAATACAGTTCAGAGCTTCTAAGAATGATTATCCAATATATTCACATTAAAATATTTTAAAATCTTTATTTTAAAAAGCAATTAATAGAAGAAGATGATCTGTTAATGTAAGACCACAAATCCTTGGAACCCTAGACTGTTTGCAAAACCTCCATGTTTCCAAATGTAACTGATGACTAGATCACAGTCATCACTATCAACTAAGACAGAAGCAGAAGATCACCACTATCACTCCAGAAAAATGAATGAAGCCTATTGGCAGATGTTTTTGTATTCTCTGTCTTGATGGGAATGACAGATTTTGGTGACATTTTTGGGTAGTTATCTGCATCTGTGTATCACAGAATAGCTCACACAAGTTCAATTAAAGAGTGCAAAATCAAAATTCTTCAATCACTGTTGGCAGATATCAAGTGAACTCAGGAGTAGATTCAATATTAAGATTATGGAACTATTCACATAACTACACTTCAGTCAGATTTTCTTGGATATATGCCATAAAAGGAACAGTGGACTTATTTCATTTGATTTCATCTGAATGCACTGTTCACATCCATAAGTGGAATTCTGGACAGTGGCTTATATGAGAGCATTGAGGACTGACCAGTTTGCACTTTGAAAATTCCACTCAAGGTCTATTAATAAATGACATCTTAAACTGGATAAGGACAAAAACAGGGTGGTCGCTTAAGAGAAGACAACACAGAGTAGTTGTTGATTTAGTGTGACAAAATAACTGGTTAGCAATTATTAAAAATCAAGCAGAAAAATATCAGGTGGATAGTCATAATCAATGACATCTTGAAATGTACTATGCTACTTCAGCTCATGACAAAGATACAAGTTATTTTTGGATGCAGCGTTCACCAACAAGATTGTTACCTTTGTGCCTTCAACAGCAATGAATACACCACTTAGGAAGACAGCTTGGGTGACAGAATGAACAAAACTATTAATTACCATATCCATACTTGTGCTTTGTCAATATGGGTGACAGCACAATTAAACTAACTTTTATGGTCACAACAGAGACACATTCTACATTTAATAGCCAAGTCTCAACATCCTTACAAATGCAGACAGCAATTCAGTATGTGGGGTAACAGTCTTGATAACAGTCAAATCACTTGCATTTGGCAGATGTGCTTCTTGGGGTGTAAAAATATCAAAGTACGCATTTAGGAGACAAATAAAGATTGTTTACCCAAAAGAACCAAACTGAGTATATCCTTTCCACAAATCCAAATGGAATTTAATTACATCTTAACTTTGGACTCTGCAACACACTAATCTATGTTATGTCACCAAACTAAGATTATAGCATCATAAAAATATTTTATGTGAAAACAATATTGACAGATCCATTTTCCAAAATACACATACAATACTTACTTTGTATTGCCTTTTTCATTTGTGATCTGTTGTTTGCTGCATGATACCAGATGATTTCTGCTCCATCTCTGGTTTTAATCTGTTCAGTGTTCAGAAAATAATCCAATACATTTTCACTCCAAGCTCCTATGTCAATAATATTTAAAGTAAGTACTGCATACATGAAGAAAAGTTTTAAATACTTTCTTACCATTGCAACTGAAAAAGGAAGAAAGACATCAGAAAAGAAGAGACTAAGCAGATACCTTTCCAATCCTGCTTTAAAAAACACAATCCGCAGACTACATGAAGTCCAAATTCAACTTCTTTCTGGGGATTTAGTTTACTAGCAGAGAAAATAAGACAAAAACCTTCTCCTGGTCTTGGTCGTTCCAAAGGTTCCTCCCAAAAGACTATTCAGTCCTCACATTTGATCTTCTCTTTTCATGGTTCAGAGTAGCAGCCGTGTTAGTCTGTACTCGCAAAAAGGAGTACTTGTGGCACCTTGGAGACTAACAAATTTATTTGAGGCATAAGCTTTCATGAGCTACAGCTCACTTCATCTGATGAAGTGAGCTGTAGCTCACAAAAGCTTATGCTCAAATAAATTTGTTAGTCTTTAAGGTGCCACAAGTACTCCTTTTCTTTTCATGGTGTAATTTGCACGGCTCTTGTAAACAGTAAGGTAGCATGTAACTTGCTACCTCGGCTCAGTAAATCAGCAGGATTAGCAGCTACTAACAAAAAGAGTGGGTGTATGACAGATAGTATCCAGAAACATCTTGGGACAAACCTTATTAAATTGAGTTTAATATCTTGGGAGTCCATTGTATTAAAAATGCTATTGTCTGTGTGTTACTGAGCTATTGTATGTATTTCCATGGAACAGTAAATAGGATAACAGTAGGGGATGATCAGGCAAATTCATTCAGATTGTAACAGCTCCAGAGAAACACTCTCCTCCCCCCTCGGTAAGGTCCACATATACTAGTTCAAACTGAATTCTCCAGGGAACAACAGACAAAGAAAAGATTTTTGGATAAATAGCCTGGTTTTAAACGGGCTCCGTTGCACCTTTCTGATCTAAGTGACAGACAGGATTTCTGGTCCAAGATAGGCCCCAATCCTTAGGGAAAGACTGAAAGGATTTTGACCTACTGAGGCCCCATAAAACTAAGTGCTTGTTCTGAGCCGAAGCTGTGATGAACTTATGACCACAGTTCCCATCATCACTGTGTGGGGTCTGAAGGACTAATTGCCAACCAGAGCCCTTGTTGAAGTGAGAGGGTGATCTCTGGCAAACTTATTAGCATCTGTATAGATTATTTTATTTTTTTTTATACGTTTTCTCTGTAATGCTTTCTATCTTAAGACTAAAACTGCTTGCTTAGAAACAGCTGTGGGTAATTTATGACTAAGGCTATGTTTTAGTCACAGGTATTTTTAGTAAAAGTCATGGACAGGTCATTGGCAGTAAACAAAAATTCATGGCCTGTTACCTGTCCATGACTTTTACGACATACCCCTGACTAAAACTTGGGGGGAGGGGCTCTTGGTGTGCCACGGGTACTCAGGGCGGGTCGCGGCCAAAGGCGGCATTACAGGTGCTTGGGAAGGCTGGGGCATGCTCCTTACCCAGCTACTGGGAAGCGGCGACCTCCAGCTCTTAGCTCCATGTGCTGCTTCCGCTCCGCCCCAAGCCCCAGTTCTGCAGTTCCCATTGGCTAGAAACTGCAGCCAATGGAGCTGCGGGGGCAGTGCCTGCAGGCGGAGGCAGCACATGGAGCTAGGAGCTGAGGGAGGGGAGTTTCTGTTGCCCTTCTAGGGAGCCCCTCCCCTCCCCTCCCCCAGTGAGCACCTCCCCACACCCCAATCCTGAGCCCCAAACTCCTGCTGCTGGGAGGTGGGGGGGCCCAAGATTGCTCCAGCAGCAGCTGGTGTGACTGGCCCAGGGGCTGCCTGAGCTGCTCAGGTGGCTCCCAGGCCAGGCACACGGGCCGCTGCAGAAGTCACAGAAAGTCACAGAATCCGTGACTTCCCTGACAAACACTGAGCCTTACTTATGACTGTGGCAATCATACTACGGTACCATCTCTGAGAAGTGAGGCAGACCTACTTATGCAGTCTGTCTTTTGCTGGGAAAATCACACTATAGTCAGGGAACTGTGCAATATCCTAGTCAGGAGGGAGAGAGATGCAGTTTCCGCCCAAGAAAGGCAACAGCTAGGGAGCTAGAAGCCTGAGAATAGTGCCCTTGCTGAACCACTAAGGGGAAACACAAGTTGCCCTGAACTGTGACAAAGTGTTTTAGTAAACACTGCCAGTTTGTTACAGGGAGGAAGTGAAAGAGGGGCTAAAATATAGAGAGAGGGAGGAAAAAAGAGACTGAGAGGAAAAGATTGCTAGTGAAACCAAAATTCCCATTTATCCATAATTCTATAATCCTCTCTCATCTGTTGTAGTCTCTTCTTCTACCTTCCGTTGGCAAGAAAATGATGGTATAATAGGTGCAGCACTACAGAGATTTTAAGTGTAACTATAAAATCTCCCTGGTTTTACAGGTGCTTCTGTTGCCCTTATGACCCTCACCACTATGGCATCTTCCTTTCATTCATCTGAACTGTGTTAATCTATTCCTCTGGAAGCCTCAGGTAATAAATTCAGAGTGTTGTCCCATTGTTACAATGTACTTCCCATTAGACCTCTGCGTGGGACTATTTTTAATTCCACTACCACTGTTATGCCAGAGGGTCCCACTGCAGGGCTCTACTTCCCATACAAATTCCCAGCAGGAAACAAAAATCTGATAAACACAGAAAACTCTTTTCAGCTTAAGGCTGCAGTCTCTCAGTCTGAGGGCATATTATCTTTCAAGAGTGAGAGTTTTTAAAAACAACAAACCACCTGATGTAGAGTTTAGTTGCATTTCTCAAATAAGGCACCAAAACTATTTTCATTTTGCCCCTGGATATACCAGCCCACCATCTTCCTGATGTATATTTACTATCAAAACTGCAACAAAGAATGCTCATTTTTGAATTTGTTTCATATATAGAGAGCCCTGCAAATCATGGATATCCATTTTATATCCACAGACCATTTTTGTGGATCAGATGCGGACCCAAATTTTGTATCTAGAGCCCCGCAAATCTGTGGATAACTGCTTTGTATCCATGGACCATTTTTGCAGATGCAGATACAAATTTTGTATCCATGCAGGACTCTACATATATAGATCTTAGATACTAAGTGTGATGATTTGCCAGCACACTAACTGTTGTTTTTTTTATTAAACTGTTCTGATATGATTAGGGGATGATGCCTGTGAAAGTAAGATGCTAACTTTGCCTAATGACACTTGGATAATTGGTTGACTCTACCCTTAAGGAGGAATGAGAAATGACTGCCTCCATTCAATGCCTTCTGCCTCAAGCAGGAATTCATAGAATCCTTTTGTGTGTCCTGTGTAAACAAGGCTGTAAAGCAGCACACCATTGTACTATTAAGACATCTAGTTTTTCTGATCATTAATAAGATTGGACTGTTGCACGAGTCAGATCGTTTGGGTGCCTTGTTTGAGAACTGCAATCTTGATGCTGCAGTTCCTGATTTTATATTTTCTTCAGATCTCAATATTTATGCAAGATAAGCCACACTCACACTGCTAAGTACTGCGACTTTACTTCACCTCCATAACAATTCAGTAAGAAAATTTCTTTAGTTTAGCTAGTCACAGCATGAAAATGAAAAGCAAAGAAAATTTGGAGGGTGAGGGGGGGTGTTACCCTTCTTGAGGTTGGCTGGAAGAGAGGTTCATTAACATACACCTTTTAAAAACCTTAGAAGGGTAGCCATATGGGGCTTGCCAGGAGCATCCCAAGCCCTAGGAACTATAAGGAAAATTATCAAGAGCCCTCTCACACTCCAGGATCTATGCTCGTGGACAGACACAGGCAGGAGGGCCCCTAGCAGCAGAGGATTGCAGGCTTTTTGCGAGGGTCTGAGGCGCGCAGTAGAGAGGTCGGCGTAGGGAGCGAAGGGACAGCTCCCTAGGACAAGACAGCCCATGGCGGATGCAGGAACGTTTCCGCCCCACTTTCACGCGACCCGCGGGTGTTTTCTGCTCGTCGCGTGGGCCGCGGGTTGCTTAATTCTGCGCCGTGGGCGACCTGACGCAAACACGCTCGGATTCATGACGTCATGTCACAAATGCCACTAGCGTCACGAAGTCTCTTTCCCCTCACTTATAGTCTCCGGTTCCGGCGGGTTCTCCCCGCCATTTAATCTGGGGTAGGGGTCGGTCTTCTGTCCAGACGCCCTGCAACTTGCGTCCTCCCGGCCAGGCCATGCCCCCAAAGCCAGCGCCCCTAGGCAGAGCCTCTTGCCCGCGCGCCAGGCGGCTTCCTTCTCCGGGAGACTGGGGAAGGGGGTTGGTTTGCCAGGGAAGCGGGGCTACCGCCGCCCCCCAGAGCAACGCACGCAGCGAGCGCCGAAGGGCCGGGCACCGGCGCTGACGACGCCTCAGGGAGGCCGGTCGGGGACAAGCGTGTGACGGGGCGTCTGGGAGAGCAGGCAGGGCGCGTAGCTGGGCTCAGACGATGCCTCCGGCGGCTGCACCGCTCCCTCGCCCTAACCCCAGCCAGGCCTCCTCGCCCTCGGGCTGAGCCGAGCCGCAGTTGGTTTACCACAGCTCCAGTACCGCAGCCCGCCCAGCGGGAGGGCACCTGGCTCTTACCGAGCTCCCGCTCCATGGCTGGGCGCAGGCGCCTGGGGTCTTGCCGGCTTAGCCCCGCCTCTTGTGGCCGGGACTCGATTCGGCCTCGGCCTCGGCCTCGGGGCGCAAGGATCCGGGATTCCCCTCGGAACAGCGGTTGCTCCTGTAAGGCAGCACAACGTCTCGTGACTGCTAGTGCGACCGGAAGCCGTCTTGCTCCGCGAAAGAACTAGTTCCTAGTTCTTGCTGCCTCCTTCCCAGGTGCCAGGGCCGGAAACCCCGCTGAGGGCCCAGTTGGGCACACTGCGGCCCGCCCAGCAGCCGCGCGGTTCGGCAAGGCCGGGAGAGGCCCCGCCGGCGTGTGGAGGGACAGGTGCGGCTGGGCCAGGCCCGTGGCAGCAGGGTGATGGGGCAGGAAGACGGATTAATACCCCAGACCCGCCGAAATGGCATTTTATGGGGAAGATATTAACGGGTCACCATAAACCCCGTGCGTGCTGCTATCGCTCCCCTACGTCACCGCAGGGAGCTGTGGCGGCTGCATCACGGTGCAGCGTCCAGTGAGCCGCCCTGTCCCCTTCCGGGGGGAAGTGTCCGCTTCGTGCTCGGGCCGGGTAGAGGTAGCGCTGGCCGCTCGGGCCTTTACACTTGTTAAAAAACGGTTACGGGGCACGAGCCCTGAACCTAGAATTACGTTAAGGGGGGGGGGGGTCACTACTTGGCCCTAAAAAACTTTTCCACGTATTTTTACATTTTTAAACAAGCAGCACAGAGCCTGGTTTAATGCCCAAACTGCAGCCGTCAGAATAAATGAGAAACTACGTTCCACGCCTCTCCTTGACAAGCTAAGGTGAATGCAGTCACTAAAGGAACTGTAGAAATTGGCACAGGCTTTTTATATCAGGGAGTATTAACACCTTTACAAAACATAATGTAAACAGAAGTAAAACAAGTATAATGAACGCTTTAAGGTAAAGAAATATGCAGTCATAGAATCATAGTCAAAGCGCTATTGTAAGGTGTAAACCGAACTGTTTTAGAGAGACTGTTCTTTCTGGAGTAGTTATTAAAAGGAGGAAAATTGACAACTTATCAAACATTATTAAAAAAATTGGACATGGACTGTTTTGTGGACATGTGTACTTTGATTATTGAATAAATAGTAACTAAACTATCTGTTTGTGTTGTCTAGTTTTGGTGGGTACATAATTGATGCGTTATTTTTTCTGTAACTTCCTAATTTTGTTGGAACCATTCCTTGAGTTTTTTGACAATTTTTCTTTTGCCCCTCAGAGGCTTTCAGTAGTAGAGCTAGTAGTAAATAAAAGTAATTGATTTGTTTGAATGGGCCCATTTCCAGAAGGAAGCCCGGGGAACATGAGGTAATAAATATCCAACCATTTATAAAATTTGGTTATAAATTACACCGTACTAGTCACACGGGACATGTCCATCATATGACTATAACCACCTCTCACAACTTCTCTGATATTTATCCCCATTTAATCTCTATTTTTTAACCTGACTTGGGTGCAGTATTACTGAAACGCTTTGTTAAATATTCTTTCATCATGCAGTAGAGGAGGTTGCTGGACCTCTTTACCATATCAAAACTCATTCATGTAAGGAAACTTATCTATCCATATCCTATTCCGACTATGGCATAGATGGACATTTCTTTGTTTGGAAAGTTGTATGCAAAGACAAATTAGTTATATTTGTTTCTAGGAGAAGCCATCACTTCTATTAAAGTTAGTTCTCTCTATAAAACAAAACAACATTCTAGAAAAGATGAGAAAAATACCTATGGAAAGGTTACTAACCTTGTACAGTAACTGGAATTCTTTGAGAGGTGTCCCCCTATGGGTGCTCCACATGAGGTGTACATGAGCCTTCAAACAGTGATTTTCAGCAGCAGTGCTCATTCAGTGAGCACAGGTGCTTTAGCAATTATTGTGACCCATACAGAGGATACAGAGGGCTACAATAGATAAACCAGCCTCACTTCCTTCTCTACTACAGTCCCATGGAGATGAAATTCTGAAGCAGAGGGAAAGGAGGGCAGTAATACAGCACCCACAGGAACACAAATCACCAAAAAGAAAACCTCATTACAGTACAAAGTAAGTAACCATTCTCCCTTTGAGTAGTGTCCTTATGGGTGCTTCACTTGACGTGATGCCCATGCAGAACCCTCTGAATGAGGTGGGAACTTTAGAACTTGGTCCTAGAACTTTACAGAATGAAAAGGTAGCATGGATTGGGGGCAGAAGCTCCATTCGAATTGGAATGGGGGCAGTGAGGGGAGGTACAAGACTTGGCTGGGGTGGTGCAGCCAGTTCCAGGCTAGGAAAGAGGGTCCTGGGGATTCCTGCCTGTTCAGCCCCTCCAGGTCTTGCTTCTGAGCTGATCATGAGCTCCCTGGCTGGATCCCAGTCACACCAGTCCCCACTATTTCCATTGCAGGCGCTCTGACAGTTGCTTGAGAGACATGCACCAAGGCATAGTGCCTTGAGGAGATGTAAACAAAGGCCCATGTCGCAGCGTTGCCAATTTCCACAATAGGAACATCATTCAGTAGCACAGAGGTCCCCAATCTGTGAGGTGCACTCCCCCCGCCCCAGGAATGTTCAGGGGCAGGGCTGGGGCCTTGCTTCCAGCCCCAGCTTCCTTACCCCTGTCTGCATCCCTCCCGGAGCCACAGCCTCACTCCCAGCTCCAGGGCTTGGACAGGAGTAAAGGCAGGGGCACGAGGTAAAAAGTTTGGGGACCACTGAAATAGGGCAACAGATGTGCACTGAGATCTGTCAAGTGGGCTATGACCCTAGGTGGGTATGTCCCATTAGCAACTGAATAGCAGGAGAGCATGCAGCTGGAAATCCACTTAGTCTCTGTGTGGACACTGGTGTTCCCTTAGCTCTGTCCACTGTAGATAGAGTCTTGGGGAGGCTCTAAAAGGTTTAATCTTGTCCAAATAATAGGCTAGTGATCTCCTAACATCTAAGGTGTGAAGAGCAGCATTCACCTAGTCTGATGGGGTCTAGGGTGGAAAACTAGCAGATGAATAGCCTGATTGGTCTCTGACTTCCATATCACTCTGGGTAGGAATCACTGATGTGGTCAGAAGGATACAGTGTCCCTGAAGACAATAGCGTAATAGAGCTTAATACGGTGGCTCTCAACCTTTCCAGATTACTGTATCCCTTTCAGGAGTCTGATTTGTTTTGTGTACCCCCACGTTATAACTCACTTAAGAACTATTTGCTCACAAAATCAGAAACACACAAAAGTGTCACAGCCATTACTGAAAAAATGCTCATTTTCTCCTTTTTACCATATAATTAGAAAATAAATTAATTGGAATAAAAATATTGTACTTACATTTCAGTGTATAGTATATAGAATAGCATAAACAAGTCCTTGTCTGTATAAAATTTTAGTTTGTACTGACTTCGATAGTCCTTTTAATGTAGCCTCTTGTAAAACTAGGCAAAGATCTAAATGAGTTGATGTACCTTCCGCCCGCTGGAAGACCTCTATGTACCATGGTTGAGTACCACTGACTTAATAAACCAACCTCCTAATTCAGCAACTCTTCAAGCTGAGATAATTGCCATTAGAAAGACAGTTTTCATGGAAAGTTTAAAAGCGTACAAGTAGCAAGTTTCCCATAGAGAGGTTTCATCAGAGAATTAAGAACCAAGTTCAAATCCCAAGTGTGGGGGATTCTCAGACATTCAGGAAAAGATTCAATAGATGGGAATTTGGAAGTAGCAGGATGAGCAAATACCAAGAAACCTTCCACAGGAGAACTCTTTAAACCATGATTTGAGGACTTCAATAGCTCAGACATAGGTCAGAGGTTTATTGCAGGAGTGGGTGGGTGAGATTCTGTGGCCTGCATTGTGCAGGTGGTCAGACTAGATGATCATAATGGTCCCTTCTGACCTTAATATCAAGGAGTCTATGAGAATGAAATGGTGTGATGGCCAGTAGGTGGACCTTAATGGGGCTCAAAGAGAATTCCTTTCTTCAGCGAACAAAGATACTCCAGAGCCTCCAGGATGGAACAGTTGACAGGAGACAGGCGATAGTAAGTGCACCAGTGATGAAATTTTTTCTATTTCCCAAGGTAAGTTTTCCTAGTGGATTATTTTCTGGTGTTCATTAGGACTTTTTGAATCTCTCTGGAACAGGAGAATTCTAGACCCGAGAGCCATCTAGGAATCAAGCCTTGAGCCATAGTGTTCAGACTGGGATGACAAACATTCCCCAAAGCTTGAGTCAGAAGACTGGGCATCAGCAGGAGACTGATGGCTGGCTGAGAGGAGAGGTGAAGCTGATAAGAAAATCACACCTGTCTTGGCCAGAATGGTGCAAGAGTACCATGGTTTTGTCCTGTTTGATTTTATTTAGAAATCCTGATGATTAGCAGTGTTGGAGAAGATTCTTCAACCAAGAGAAGAGAAAGGCATCCCCCAGAGAAAGGCAACTAAGGCCTCCCCGGGAGCTGAATTTCATACATTTCTGGTTGGCAGTGATGGTAAAAAGGTCTCCAATGTTCAGAAGACCCCAAGTAAGGAATACCTGTCTGAGTGTGGATCTGTCAAGTTCCCGGTCTTGATCTTGACTGAAGTATTAATGAGTCAGTCATCTAGGGTGTTTTGAAAGCTAGGCAAACTGCTGTGATGAGGATTCAGTGGACTGTGCATCATTCCATAACCTGATTGCCTTTCAGAAGAGGGAATAGGATCTTGTTCTCCCTGTCAATTTATGTAGTATATACTGGCCTGGTTGTCTGTCATTACATGGACAACTGGGCATTTTATCATGGGGAGAAGTTTATCTCACGCCCCTGAGCTCCTGAATGTTGATATGTAGGGTAGACTCCTAGATGGACCATCTGCCCAACATACTGTGATCTTGTGGATAAGTTTGCCATCTTAGAAAAAATATGTTCAAAACTATTGTGACAGTGTGAGGGACGGTTGAAGGGAACTCCTGAGCATACCTTGTGTGGATTCTTCCACGAGTTGAGGGACACTAGCCCACATTTGGGACTAGAGAGCATCATGTTCAGAGTGTTTCTGTTGGGGGTATAAACTGTCCTGATCCTGTCTTGGAAGCAACACAGGTGTAAGTGGATGTGTAGCATGATGAAGGTACATGCTGCCATATGCCTGAGGAGCTGTAGGCATGATCTGGCAGTGGCCCATAGGTTCATTTGAACTTACGCAATTAAGTCGGTCAGAGTGAAAAATATGTCCTCTTGTAGGTAGGCTCTGGACATTGTGACATGGAGAATGGCCCCTATAGAGATAAGAGGGAGGACTTGGCAGTATTGAGCCGAGGGTTGAGCATGTGGGAGAGACAGAGCCTTCTTTACAGCAGTTTGAACTTCGGTATAGGAATACGCCTTGAGAAGCCAGTCAAGATAACTGAAGATTATTCCCCATTGGTGAAGCTGTGTGGCAACTATCGCCATAACTTTCATAAACACTCCAGGAGTCCAAAAGAGAGGACTCGGTGTAGATAGCAGTCCTGATCTATGTAAAAGCATAGGAATCTCTAGAGAGAGGGGATTTTATCATGGCATGAAAGTATGCCTCTTAAATGACAAGGGTTGCAAAGGTCATTCAGATCCGGGGTGAAATAGCTACAAGTGTTACCATCTTGAATTTTTGTACCTTGATAAAGGTATACAACATCCTGAGATCTAGAGCTGGCCTCCACCTGCCCTTTTTTGGGGGGAACCAGAAAGTATCTGGAATAAAATCCCCATCCTCTATACTAAGTGAGAACTGGTTCCATAGCTCCTATGCAGAGGAGGAAGAAAAATTCTTGTCTGAGGAAAGGCTCATGAGATGGGTGCCTGAAAAGGGATGAGATAAGAGGGAGTGATGGAGTGGAAATGGATGTTATAAACTCCAAGATCTATCTGTCAGAGATAATGTGGTCCCATGAGATGCAGAAATAGGAGAGACTATCCCCAAAAGATGGGAGGATGGAAAGGGCAGGATGATACAACAGCAGACCCAGATTGTGGGAGTGTTTGTGGCCCTTGGCTGAGGTGTCAAAATGAACACTTCATAGATGATGGCTACTGCGTCCATCCAAGTGTAGCAGTGACAACTTTCCCCTCTGCATTCTGGGTTTCTTTTTAGGTGGCTCAGATGCTCTATGGTAGGTGGAGAAAAAAACGGTTGCTTGCCTGTACACTAACTGTTGTTCAAGGTGAGTTGTGCACTTATACATTCCACTGTAGATGTATGTGTTCCCAGTGTACTACAGTAGAAGACTTTTGCCAGAACTACTACTAGGCATAGGCAATGTCTGCACCCCTACTCTCCTCAGGCTCTCAGGCAAGGGCATAAAAGGGGCACGTCTGCCGCCTCCCTCTCCAGTCTTTCACATGTCCAAACTAGTGGGGAGGGAGGTCGTGGAAAGTATAGAAGCAAAACGTCTCAAAGAACAACAATTACTGTGTGGTAGGGTGACCAGATGCCCCAGTTTTATAGGGACAGTCCCGATATTTGGGGCTTTCTCTTATATAGACGCCTATTAGCCCCCATCCTGTCCCAATTTTTCACACTTTCTATCTGGTCACCCTACTGTGTGGATAAGTAACCATTCTCTCTCTTTTGAGTGATTGTGCACATATACATTCCACTGTAGATGGCTCATCAGCAGCTCCCTTACAGGTGGAGTGACTTTGGATCATCTAAGCTAGAGACTGTAACACTGACTTGCCAAAGCCACATCATCATGAGTGGAAAAGATATACACAGAGGACCGTGTCAGTGCCTTGCATATATCAGTTACTGGAACATTGCTCAGAAAAACTAATGAAGTGGATTGAGTGAACCATTATTCTCAATGTAGAGGAGACTTAAGCAACATTGTAGAAGAGCTTAATGCAATCAGAAATCCAGTGTGAGATTCACTGAATTGACAGAGATTGACCTTTAATTCTCTCAGCATAGGTTACAAGAAGCCAGGGGGCGAGAAGTATTTTTTGCTGTCCAGATAGAATGCGTGGGCTTCACAAACACCCAAGGTATGAAGTGTTTTCTCAGCTTTAGATGAATGAGGTTTCAGGAAAAATACTGGAATATTAATTGTTTGGTTTAGATAGAAAACTGACACTACCTTAGGCCAATCCGTAAATTTATGCCTAAGGGGAACCATATCCTTATGTAATGACAGGTTTCAGAGTAACAGCCGTGTTAGTCTGTATTCGCAAAAAGAAAAGGAGTACTTGTGGCACCTTAGAGACTAAACCAATTTATTTGAGCATAAGCTTTCGTGAGCTACAGCTCACTTCATCGGATGCATACTGTGGAAACTGCAGAAGACATTATATACACAGAGACCATGAAACAATACCTCCTCCCATCCCACTCTCCTGCTGGTAATAGCTTATCTAAAGTGATCACTCTCCTTACAATGTGTATGATAATCAAGTTGGGCCATTTACAGCACAAATCCAGGTTCTCTCACCCTCCGCCCCCCCCACCCCCCCAAACTCACTCTCCTGCTGATAATAGCCCATCCAAAGTGACCACTCTCTTTACAATGTGTATGATAATCAAGGTGGGCCATTTTCAGCACAAATCCAGGTTCTCACCCCCCCTCCCATTTTTTTTCCAAAAACCACACACACAAACTCACTCTCCTGCTGGTAATAGCTTATCCAAAGTGACCACTCTCCCTACAATGTGCATGATAATCAAGGTGGGCCATTTCCAGCATAAATCCAAGTTTAACCAGAACGTCGGGGGGGGGGGGGGAAACAAGGGGAAATAGGCTACCTTGCATAATGACTTAGCCACTCCCAGACACCACTGACTTCCTGAGGAAACTACAATCCATCGGTGATCTTCCTGATAACACCATCCTGGCCACTATGGATGTAGAAGCCCTCTACACCAACATTCCACACAAAGATGGACTACAAGTCGTCAAGAACACTATCCCCGATAATGTCACGGCTAACCTGGTGGCTGAACTTTGTGACTTTGTCCTTACCCATAACTATTTTACATTTGGGGACAATGTATACCTTCAGATCAGCGGCACTGCTATGGGTACCCGCATGGCCCCACAGTATGCCAACCTTTTTATGGCTGATTTAGAACAACGCTTCCTCAGCTCTCGTCCCCTAACGCCCCTACTCTACTTGCGCTATATTGATGACATCTTCATCATCTGGACCCATGGAAAAGAAGCCCTTGAGGAATTCCACCGTGATTTCAACAATTTCCATCCCACCATCAACCTCAGCCTGGTCCAGTCCACACAAGAGATCCACTTCCTGGACACTACAGTGCTAATAAACAATGGCCACATAAACACCACCCTATACCGGAAATCTACTGACTGCTATTCCTACCTACATGCCTCCAGCTTTCACCCTGACCACACCACACGATCCACTGTCTACAGCCAAGCTCTGCGATACAACCGCATTTGCTCCAACCCCTCAGACAGAGACAAACACCTACAAGATCTCTATCAAGCATTCTTACAACTACAGTACCCACCTGCGGAAGTGAAGAAACAGATTGATAGAGCCAGAAGAGTTCCCAGAAGTCACCTACTACAGGACAGGCCTAACAAAGAAAATAACAGAACGCCACTAGCCGTCACCTTCAGCCCCCAACTAAAACCCCTCCAACGCATTATTAAGGATCTACAACCTATCCTGAAGGATGACCCAACGCTCTCACAAATCTTGGGAGACAGGCCAGTCCTTGCCTACAGACAGCCTCCCAACCTGAAGCAAATACTCACCAACAACCACATACCACACAACAGAACCACTAACCCAGGAACCTATCCTTGCAACAAAGCCCGTTGCCAACTGTGCCCACATATCTATTCAGGGGACACCATCACAGGGCTTAATAACATCAGCCACACTATCAGAGGCTCGTTCACCTGCACATCCACCAATGTGATATATGCCATCATGTGCCAGCAATGCCCCTCTGCCATGTACATTGGTCAAACTGGACAGTCTCTACGTAAAAGAATAAATGGACACAAATCAGACGTCAAGAATTATAACATTCATAAACCAGTCGGAGAACACTTCAATCTCTCTGGTCACACAATTACAGACATGAAGGTCGCTATCTTAAAACAAAAAAACTTCAAATCCAGACTCCAGCGAGAAACTGCTGAATTGGAATTCATTTGCAAATTGGATACTATTAATTTAGGCTTAAATAGAGACTGGGAGTGGCTAAGTCATTATGCAAGGTAGCCTATTTCCCCTTGTTTTTTCCTACCCCCCGCCCCCCCCTCGACGTTCTGGGTAAACTTGGATTTATGCCCACCTTGATTATCATACACATTGTAAGGAGAGTGGTCACTTTGGATGAACTATTACCAGCAGGAGAGCGAGTTTGTGTGTGTGGTTTTTGAAAGAAAAGGGGTGGGGGGTGAGAAAACCTGGATTTGTGCTGGAAATGGCCCACCTTGATCATCATACACATTGTAGGGAGAGTGGTCACTTTGGATAAGCTATTACCAGCAGGAGAATGGGGTGGCAGGAGGTATTGTTTCATGGTCTCTGTGTATATAATGTCTTCTGCAGTTTCCACAGTATGCATCCAATGAAGTGAGCTGTAGCTCACGAAAGCTTATGCTCAAATAAATTGGTTAGTCTCTAGGGTGCCACAAGTACTCCTTTTCTTTTTGCATATCCTTATGGAAGACCATGAAAGGAGAGCCAGTCAGGAGAGCCTGAAATTCTGAAACCCTGCTTGCGGAAGTGATAGCCTCCAAAAATGCCATCTGCATAAATTATAATGACAATTAAATTGTAGCCATAGGCTCAAAAAAGGAGTCCCTATGATTTTGAAGAGGACTAGATTTAAATCCCATACAGGTACAGGAGCAGACACAGGAAAGTAAATGGTCACGAGGCCTTGGAGAAATTGAGAAATGAGAGAATGAGAAAAGATGGAAAAATCTGTCTACTGGTAGATTTAGTGCAGAAACAGAAGTCTGGAGAACTCCCACAGAACTAATTGAAAGGCCTGATGATTTTAGGTATAAAAGGTAGTACAGCATACGTGTATTCTCCATGTGATGAGGTGATAAATACTAAGACTGTGTCCAAACCTATAATCTTTTCCACTTCACTCCATATGAGGCTCTAGTGGATTCTTTTCTGCTGCACACAAAGATGGTCTGAACCTCTCAGAAGCACAATTGCTCATAAGTATTGAACCAGCAATCTTCCATGCTGTAAAATGGAGAGTTGAGGTTGAGATGCAGTAACTTGCTTTCGTTCTGAGACAGGAGATCGAACAACAGTAAAGTTATCAGCGACTGGAGGGAAAGCTGGTGTATGTCCGTGAACCAATATTGTCTTAATCTTTACAGCACCAGCATGACTATGATACTTTGTCTCATGTTGATCTCCCCATAGAATTTGAGTTGGATCTCCCTTAGAATTTGCTTCAATTAGCCAGTTTTTTATAGCTTTAGTGCATATAGTTATAGTTTGTTTAAAACACAGGGATTTTTTCATAATAAAATTCTCCAGGAAATTACTAAACTATAATAAACTATGTGCCACATGCAGGTGGGAAGAAGAAACAGAGTGGGAGGTGGCAGATACAACCATTACGCTCTTGTCAGAGAGCAGGCACACATGCTGTCTAGTAGTACTGCAGGCAAAAGTCTGACTCGAGTGCACAGGGCTCACACACACCTACTGTGGAACATACTTGTGCATAATCACTCAGACAAGAACCGACTGCATGGGACCTCTCTGCTATCTGAGACCCATTAAATCTCCTCGCTTGCAGGTGTACATATGCCCAGCAAATGAAAGTTTGCCTTACAGTCCTTCAGCAAATGCAGACACTCATCCATGGAGTTGCTGAACAAGATACAACCGCATTTGCTCCAATCCCTCTGACAGAGACAAACACCTACAAGATCTCTATCAAGCATTCTTACAACTACAATACCCACCTGCTGAAGTGAAGAAACAGATTGACAGAGCCAAAAGAGTACCCAGAAGTCACCTACTACGGGACATGCCCAACAAAGAAAATAACAGAACGCAACTAGCCGTCACCTTCAGCCCCCAACTAAAACCTCTCCAGTGCATCAGCAGAGATCTATAACCTTTCCTGAAAAATGATCCCTCACTCTCACAGATCTTGGGAGACAGGCCAGTCCTTGCTTAGAGACAGCCGCCCAACCTGAAACAAATACTCTTCAGCAACCACACAACAAACACACTAACCCAGGAACCTATCCTTGCAACAAAGCCCAAAGCCAACTCTGTCCACATATTTACTCAAGTGACACCATCATAGGACCTAATCACATTAGCCACACCATCAGGGGCTCATTCACCTGCACATCTACCAATGTGATATATGCCATCATGTGCCAGCAATGCCCCTCTGCCATGTACATTTGTGTAGAGACTGTCCGGTTTGGCCAAAGAATAAATGGACACAAATCTGACATCAGGAATCATAACATTCAAAAACCGGTAGGAGAACACTTCAACCTCTCTGGCCACTCAGTAAAAGACTTAAGGGTGGCAATTCTGCAACAGAAAAGCTTCAAAAACAAAAAAATACACATATATATATATACACACACACACAGAAGGTATATCTATTTATCTCTTCTTACTATATGTTCCATTCTATGCATCCGATGAAGTGGGCTGCAGCCCACGAAAGCTTATACTCTAATAAATTTGTTAGTCTCTAAGGTGCCACAAGTACTCCTGTTGTTTTTGCGGATACAGACTAACACAGCTGCTACTCTGAAACCTGAATAATTTAAGACTATCAAAGGGGATGTCTTCTACAGTGTTTTGGATTTCACGCTTTAATCCTACAGACTGCAGCCATGTGGCTCAGCTCATGACTTCAGCTGTGCCGATGAAATGGGGGGCTGTATTGAGAGTTATCCTTGCCAGAAGCTGTCCCTCTGTGATGAGGGCCTGAAATAGTTCCCTATGCTCTGATGGGAGATCTTCGTAAAGGAATTAATTCTAAATAGCTAATGTGATTATATTTTGCAAGAATTGTCTGGTAATTAGCAATTCTGAAATGCAAAGTGGCAGGTAACTCTTGTGACGAAAGATATCTAAGTGCTTTGAATCTTTATCATACAGGGTAGCCTTCAAATTGCATTGTCCGTTGAATATTTATTTACTGCATCGACAACTAAGGGAGTTGGGACAGGATTGGCAAATAAAAATTCTGAATCCCTAGCTGGAACATGGTACTTTTTTTTTTTTTTTTTTAATAAAAAAGATGGGGGCGGGGAATGCAGTGGTGGCAGGAGTTTGCCAAATTGTTCTTGGCAGGTTCTAACATCTCCTTGTATATAGGAAGAGCAACATACGCTAAAGATGGCGTGTGAAGAATGTCCAGCAGTTTATACTGAGTCTCTTGCACTTCTTGTAACGCTTTTGAAAAGTTATCTGCCACTCTTTTCATCAATTCCTAATGTTTGAAGTCACCAGCACTAGATAAAGAGGGCCTAACAACTTCATCTCGGGAGGATGATGAACTAGTTGTCTGAGGGGTAGCCTCTTTATCATTTCACCTTTCTTGCTCCTCAGACGTCCCCTCCTGTGGTGGAGATTGCTATATGGAAATTGAGAGAATTAAGGAGCGCTGTCCCTAGCATTCCCTGCAAGTGCGGGGTACCATGGAGAACTGTTGTCAATAGACAGCTCAAAGGTCCTAATGTGGCCACGAGGAGAGGAGAGCATAAGGGACTGATCATACCAAGGAGGTTACTGAGCAGATTGAGGTTGCACAAGACTGGAAGTATCCTTCAGTGGAGCAGCTTCAGGAGAAGCTGGTTTAGGCATGTAATCATAAGAGCCCTGAATAGAAACTTGAGGATCTGGAGAATTCTTTGCATAGTTTAATGGAGGAGCAATGGTTAGCCTCTCTGAATGCATGGGTACCAAGGAATCATGTGGTATCAGCAAGGTATTGGATACAGTGGAGATCATGGTAGCAGGAGTCTAACTGAGCTCAATAAAGGAGTGTCAAGGCTGATTCCGCACTCTGGAACTTGGAGTACAGAAGGTGGGGGCCCGCAAGGATTCTAAAAATTAATACCGGCCACTCCAGACTTGTATTAAACTCCCAAGGTTACAACTTATAGAATCATAGAATATCAGGGTTGGAAGGGACCTCAGGAGGTCATCTAGTCCAACCCCCTGCTCAAAGCAGGACCGATCCCCAATTAAATCATCCCAGCCAGGGCTTTGTCAAGCCTGACCTTAAAAACTTCTAAGGAAGGAGATTCCACCACCTCCCTAGGTAACGCATTCCAGTGTTTCACCACCCTCCAAGTGAAATAGTTTTTCCTGATATCCAACCTAAGTCTCCCCCACTGCAACTTGAGACCATTACTCCTCGTTCTGTCATCTGCTACCACTGAGAACAGTCTAGAGCCATCCTCTTTGGAACCCCCTTTCAGGTAGTTGAAAGCAGCTATCAAATCCCCCCTCATTCTTCTCTTCTGTAGACTAAACATCCCCAGTTCCCTCAGCCTCTCCTCATGACTCGTGTATTCCAGTCCCCTAATCATTTTTGTTGCCCTCCGCTGGACTCTTCCCAATTTTTCCACATCCTTCTTGTAGCGTGAGGCCCAAAACTGGACACAGTACTCCAGATGAGGCCTCACCAACGTCGAATAGAGGGGAACGATCACGTCCCTCGATCTGCTGGCAATGCCCCTACTTATATAGCCCAAAATGCCATTGGCCTTCTTGGCAACAAGGGTAAACTGTTGACTCCTATCCAGCTTCTCGTCCACTGTAACCCCTAGGTCCTTTTCTGCAGAACTGCTGCCGAGCCATTCGGTCCCTAGTCTGTAGCAGTGCATTGGATTCTTCCGTCCTAAGTGCAGGACTCTGCACTTGTCCTTGTTGAACCTCATCAGATTTCTTTTGGCCCAATCCTCCAATTTGTCGAGGTCCTTCTGTATCCTATCCCTGCCCTCCAGCGTATCTATCTGTCCTCCCAGTTTAGTGTCATTTGCAAACTTGCTGAGGGTGCAATCCACACCATCCTCCAGATCATTTATGAAGACATTGAACAAAACAGGCCTGAGGACCGACCCTTGGGGCACTCCACTTGATACCGGCTGCCAACTAGACACGGAGCCATTGATCACTACCCGTTGAGCCCGACGATCTAGCCAGCTTTCTATCCACCTTATAGTCCATTCATTCAGCCCATACTTCTTTAACTTGCTGGCAAGAATACTGTGGGAGACAGTGTCAAAAGCTTTGCTAAAGTCAAGGAACAACACGTCCACTGCTTTCCCTTCATCCACAGAGCCAGTTATCTCGTCATAGAAGGCAATTAGTCAAGCATGACTTGCCCTTGGTGAATCCATGCTGACTGTTCCTGATCACTTTCCTCTCCTCTAAGTGCTTCAGTATCGATTCCTTGAGGACCTGCTCCATGATTTTTCCAGGGACTGAGCTGAGGCTGACTGGCCTGTAGTTCCCAGGATCCTCCTTCTTCCCTTTTTTAAAGATGGGCACTACATTAGCCTTTTTCCAGTCGTCCGGGACTTCCCCCGATCACCATGAGTTTTCAAAGATAATGGCCAACGGCTCTGCAATCACATCTGCCAACTCCTTTAGCACTCTCGGATGCAACGCATCCGGCCCCATGGACTTGTGCACGTCCAGCTTTTCTAAATAGTCCCAAACCACTTCCTTCTCCACAGAGGGCTGGTCACCTCCTCCCCATGCTGTGCTGCCCAGTGCAGCAGACTGGGAGCTGACCTTGTTTGTGAAGACAGAGGCAAAAAAAAGCATTGAGTACATTAGCTTTTTCCACATCCTCTGTCACTAGGTTGCCTCCCTCATTCAGTAAGGAGCCCACACTTTCCTTGACTTTCTTCTCTCTGACCTTGGATGGATAGATGCTGCCACCACCCAAATGCAAAACCCCTGAGAACCCAGGTAGGCACACTTGGGAATTCTTTCCTGTGGGATACCCTCAAGCCCTTTCACACCCCCCTTCCAGGGAAGAGCCGAGAAAGAAAAAGAAAATTAGCTGTTGTCCCCAACTAATTAAACAACATATGCACAAACCTTTTAGGACACCAAAAATCCAATCCTGTTCTTAAAAAGCGTAAATTTTATTAAAAACAAAAAGAAAGAAAATACATCCAGAATTTAGGCTTTTGCTAGATTTAAAAAACCCACTTACAAAAATTAAACATCAAGAATAACCTTCTTGAGGTCCAGCTTAAAGATTACAAGCAAAACAAAAAGCATTTGGGGTTAGCACAGAGGAGTCCACAAGCCAAGAAGAAATAAACAGAAATAAACCTAATCGCAGCTTTCTAGACATTTTCTGATTATGAGGAGGTTTTAGGTATGATCTGATGATTTCCATACCTGACAAAAATCTTTTTACTGCATAGTCCCAGCCCTGTCTCTGCTCTGTCCCCTCCCTCTGGAGAACAATGGAACAGACAAAGGGAAGTTTTTCCCAATTTTAGAAAGTTCTAACCTTCCCACTGTCTCTTTTGGTCCGGCGCCCACTCCTTTCCTTTTACCTGTGGACTTTTTAACCCTTTACAGGTAAAGCAAGCAGAGAACAGCTACTAAGAGGGATTTTATAGCTAACTGGCTGTCTGAGTGTCCATAAAAGGGAGCTCCCTCTTTCCCCCCCGCTTCATTTATCACAAGGAGACACAGGTTCATCGGAGACAAACATAGCCCTGGAAAACCTGAACTCCTGCAGTACTGGGTGCAGTTGCACGGGAACCTGATGAACCGGGGTTGCAGTGGCCTGCAATACTGAGAATGGTGCAGGGAGAACTGTAACATCTGCTGGACTACCAATCGAAGCACCAAAGAAGTAGATGTTGCAGGTAATACTGATTTCTTCATTGCAGAGCCCATAGAGTCTCTAGTATCTTGTTCATACTTTGATACTTGTCCATATTTGTTCATACTGAAGACTTCGGTACCAATTGGTGAGTACCGTATGATTTAGATGAGCTTGAGGACTTCGATTTAAAGCTTTCTGTACCAAAACTGTTCAAACCTCTCTAGGAGGTTTAAGGAGTGTGGGGTCTCCGGCACAGCGGATCTCTTGCTGAGATTTAGTATTCTTGATGAAAGACTTTCCGTCACTTGTAGGTCTACCTGACAGGGCTGACGAGACACTGGGGTGACTTGGAGACTGCTGTACAGGGACCATTTCTGCGCTTGAAGTTAAAGCTAGACAAATGGAGCACTTCATCATTTAACATCTCTCTCACCTGGAGTGGCTCTTAAAACAAGTGCCGAGGGCACGTGTACCCACAAGGGAACAGATACAGTGTGAGTGGCTGTCACTAACTAGGAAGGACTCCTGGCAAGTGAGTCAGAGTTTGAAGCCTGGGGACTTAAGTATGCCCCCAAAAGTAACTAAGGCCTTGTCTAGGCTACAGAGTTGTGTCGACAAAAGTTATGTTGATGATCAAAAAAGTGCTATAACAACATCACTATCGCATGTTCACATTACGCTCCCTTTGTTGGCAGAGTGTGTCCACAGATGATGCTCAAGCATCGACAGTGAGAGCAGTGCATTGCAGCGCAGAAGACTCAGTGTTTGGCTGGATTAGAGCACTTCCAGTCTATTATTTGAGCTGACTGGCTTCACAGTTCCACATTTTGGAATAGCTATACCATCATGTTTATTAGATCTGTGCGAAGTATCTCACTTAATCTTTTTTTTTCTTATTCTATATAATTTCTAACACTCTATAGTCCTCTTAAAGTTTTATGTTGGAAAGATTATAGGAAGATTTTTGAAACAAGAAAGATATCCTTCACAAAAATATTCAGGTCGATTTTGTAGCTGTTCTTCCCAACCTAGACGCTGCACACTTTCCCCAGCATGCGAATGTCTTTTGTTTTTTTTTCCCCCTGAAGTAATGGTTGGGCATTAAAATCATTCAGTTCTTCTGTGATGAGATTTGAATTCCAAGCTATTTTATAGAATACGTTTCCCAAGTGTTTTTTGGATGATGACTTTTCAGAGTACAACAAAGTTCTCCCCAGCATTTCAGATTTGGCATATATTACTTCAAAGCCAGATATTTTCCCAATCATGGATTGGTTTAGATACTAGTTGTAGGGAAATGCTCATGTTTGACAATACATCATTAGCATGTAAACCTATTTTCTGATAGGTTTCTGAAAGTTTTATTCTTCTGATAAATTCATTTCTTATCCTCTGTGTAAAAGGCTACCTGCCCAATGCAAAAAGTAAAGACGACAATGGACATCCCTTCCTACCTCTCCTGTGTAATTCAAAGAGGGGAGATTTAACCCCATTCAGGCTCTCAGTTGCTTTTTGTCTGGTATAAACGGTGTTATGGTTTTGTCACAGAAATCGTGAATTTGAATAAAGTTTGTGGAAACCTTGAACACTGCTGTAAAAACACATTTGATTAGGCCCCCAAACAAACGGCATGGTGATTCTGTATGTGAGGTTGCAATGCCACTCATTTGGGGGCCTAATCAAATGTAGTGGCAGTCTCTGAAGCTGTTGACAACTTTAATGATTTACCTTACTCATCACGCACTGTTCTTAGTTTCTGGCAGCATAGACATACATATGCCCATCACTGAAGGGTATAGCTGCCCTCTGAGGGACAATATTTGAAACCCTGAAGACTTTTGCTCCATCATAAGAGCTGAAAGCCCAGTACCTGGCAATCAAAAAACAAAATTTTACCCACAATAGAAATCTATACAAATTATCCTAACTACTAAAGAGATAACTATATACAATAAATTTGTTTAAAATGTGCAAGTGCGCATAAGGTAGAGATGCTGCTTGCAGTAACATCTCACAGCCCTGGGCTGTAAGAAGGAACTCAGGGATGTTTGGCCCTGCTGTGCCCTTTTTGCCCTCTGGTGCGTGGTGGGGTGCAGGATGTAAGTGCAGCCCCAATGGCCACTGCTAGCAAAAAAGATGCTTACCTTACCAGCCAACATGGAGAATGAAAAAGCAGAAAGGAGAAAGTCCCAGCAGGAGAGGGAGGAGATTCACCAGGACACAGAGGGTCTTCTCCGGCAACAAAC